ACATTAGGGTACGTATGTTTATATATATATCACTCACCACTGATACTTACTCCACGCTGGAATTAATCTCAGGTCCCTGGGTCGGTAGCAGAGTGCGCTAACCGCTGCTACGTTGCTCTTATCTGCTCTGACATGGCGGCGCTATGGGCAGATACAATTATACACGTTTATGCACGCATTGTACTCCTCTTATCCGTGCGGAGGTGTGCGGATGACAGGATATGTCTGCCATCGCCTCCGGGTTCCTTACTCTTATCTGTGCTTGGGCGTCTCTAAGAGGACGAACGACATTCTTGGGCCACTTCTGGGTCAAGGCAAATCCGCATTATAAGCCGGATATGTGCTAAGACTACCAGGTTACTGCTGGGAGTTTACGCCTCTTATCCACGCAACGGGGAGAATGGAAGTGTGGTGACAATAGGAAGGTCTACAGAGTGATCTGTGGGCATGGCATTAGGAAGAGTGGATAAACAGGGATTATATTGTATAACACCTGGATAAATTTAGTTAGTCAAAAGTAAAAAAAAAACTGAACCAGCAATAAAACTGTAACACGAGCCCCCAAAGCTAAGTAACAAAATAAATATGCAGACAATATGCCTTCTTCAAATGTGTGTTCTCCACTTAAAAAAAAACAAATATACTTATTTCACATCCCATCAGCCACAAGGCCTTTCGGCAGCATTGGTTCAACAAGCAAGCTCATGTAATTGAATGAATAAATTGCAACATTTGCACATTTACTTCCGAGCCAAAAACATTTATAGCTACCCAATCTTGCGAGTGAATTGCCAATGACAAAGTGACTTCACTGCTTTGTCTAAACTTTTTTTCCACTATTTCCCTGTGAAAGCGGATTCACCGGTTATATTATTAAAATATTGCTTTTAAAAAGTGACAAGGGGCATTCACTGCAGCAGATGTAATATAATCATTTTTTTACGTGACAATCTCCGACGATGGGGGCACGGTAATCACTCCGAAGCTTAAGATGGATCCAGCCAGGAATGTTAATTAAGCGACCGTCAGCAGCTATGATTATTCGCATTATCACCGTAACACTGCAATTTGCACTGTATCGGTGACACGTTGCTTTTCAGCAGGTGCCGTGGGAGGCTCTGCAAGAAAACGCATCCGCCCCCATCCCTTCCATCACTGGCGGGCTCCCAATGTCACCGACCGTGTCCGTATCTGCCAGAACAGCAGCTGTGCTGCCAGCTGGAGATGAGCCATCGAGTGTTCTCAACATATTATTGAGCGTCAAATATTCACGTGCGTGTGCAAGTTTGTGTCATGCACGTGCGAACAAACGGCCGGTGAAAATAAGGAAAACAGGATTTACAGTGGTTAGATTTTTTTTAAAGACTTTATTTAAACCGTAGTCAATGCGATTTCCTGCGGCAATGAGCATCAAGGCATTGTTCATCTCCTGTTTATAACCTCGAGCCAGTGACAGGGGTAAGTATATATATCCATACGACAACAATGTTGATACCCCCCAAAGTGGCACTCATTTTATTGACCCAGATTAGATGGGCTGAGCTAATAACCTCTAACCAGGAATTGAACTTACTACAACTTTCAGACGTGTAAGCTGGTCACTCTACTGCCGAGCCAAATGGCCAGCTATGAACATGCTCGTACCAGGATATTGCGGAGTGATTTCCTTCTGGGAAGTGTCAAGCGCACAAGAGCATTGGCATTCGTAACATTCAATGTTCACGTGGCAGCAGTTTAATGCACATTATACAAATGACCATATCCATTAGTCTCAACACATCCCTTGGATACCAGATTGCCCAAACTAATGACATTCCCTCAAATGCAGGAACTTCTTTGCAAAAGTCCCTCTAAACGTTGTTACAAACTTCACAAAGTAAAGTCAGCAAGCTTTCTCAATGAAAGGCTTGCATTAACACTGGAGTTCAATCTTGATTTGAAGCTTTCGTGACTGCAGGAATCCACTCTTTGGTTCTTTCAGTAAAGTCACATAGGTAGAAAAAAAAATCACGACGTTTCGATCGCCACACAAGGATTTTATTTCTACCTACGTGACTTTACCGAAAGAACCAAAGAGTACTGGAGGCCAACCTGAACACATTTTTTTATGTTCTATGGACCGTACACGTGCCATGTAGAGATAAAAGGAAACACACATCGAGTTATCTGTGACGTGGCCAAGAGTTGAACGCAGCCTCATCTTCTCTGGCTGTTAATACTGTAACCAGTTATTCACCGCCAGCGAAGATAATAAGTAACCTTCTGTAAAACGCCAAAATTCATGCAAATGAAAACACCACGTTGCGGTGGAATGGTTCTAAAATAAATACATGAGCGGCAATGTAACTTAGACTTGAAATTAAATGCAGTTTGAACTCAAGGACATGAAGGCAAGATTGAGCGTTTTTTGTTAATGAAACTATGTATATGTTGAACTTCTTTCGCACCGTATGTAGCCAACCGTGCTAATCGGAGGTGCGGGGGGAAGGTCAACAAACTAACCACAAAAAGCAGTTCTAAAAACTCATAGTAACTGGCTTGTCAATAACTTTGTTGAAGACCCGACAAAGGACCTGTCTTGGTTTCCCTCCACTCTGACAGTGGGCCGCTCTTTAAGCGTGTCCAAACAACACATGGAAGACGCTGTGGATATTTCCTCCATCAATGGAAGATCAAGGAATTCGCCAAATTGCAAATGAAGCGAGGTGGCAAACCACCAAGAATATCACTGACACAACACATCACCCAACGCAACACGGATATTCTGGTGGAATAAGCAGACTGACCGCCACTCAGTTACCGTGGATGCCGTGGAACGGCTTATAAAATAAAAAAAATACAATTGAAGCCTGTTGGGTTTTTTTTTTCTCAAACGCCATACGACAGAAGCATAGCTTGTGAAATTGTTGACTCTCTGTCCAAAAAGCTGCACACGGTAGCCTAACTTCACGTGTGAAAGTTTTGTGGTAAAAGTTCTTGTTGTGAATGGCATTTTAAAATCAACTGACAAAAATATTTGTGTACGCTACGGAAATTCGTAGTGAGTTCGCAGACACGGACTGTGTACGTGCGACTATGTACATGTATTTGTACGCGTAGTGTGATTGTGTATGTATAATTGTAAGTGCAGTGTTTGTGTATATTTGTAGGTGCCATGTCTTTGTGTATTTGCATATTATTGTGTGTGTTTGGTGCGGCCTCTCACGCTATAAACACGTCAACATGCGTCATGAACTGTCAATTGCAACATTATTTTTACCTCGGAGCTCAGTGGCTCTTTAAAACGTGGCAAGTTCACGGCCACGTGCTGCAAAGCAGCCAGGGCGCGCGCGCACACACACACACACACAAACATTCGCCAAGTAAATATTTTTTTAATTGTGTAATCTTTATTCCAACGTTTCCTGGCCAGGAAATTTACCAAACACATTGTGTCTAAAGGATGATGATGGAAGAAGAAAAAAATAATCTGGCATGGATTTTGTAACGCCTTCCAACATGCGATAGTCATTGAAAGTGTTTAATCAAGCTATACGTCAGGAGGCCGTGATGAGGCTGCTTGGATCGTGGCAGCCAGAGAGGGCCCATCTCGGCTGGCAGGGTCGGGACACTGAGGAGGGGGAGTCCGTTTGGTCGAGCACCAATTGGGACGAGGCTCAAAAGAAAGCCGTACCTTGGTGTGGACCAATCATTTTCAAGGACAATGCATATATTATCATAGTATGTTTTTTGTTTGCATTTTGCAGGTATTGTGGTTAATGCAGACATGAATCCTTGTAAAAAAGGATTCAGTTTTGATGCCAGAAAAAAAAAGGGGAAAACCCCTATTATTACATTTTGGTACTGGCAAAGGAGGTCTAATGATGTACATTATCAGAACATGTTTGTTTGTCTGTTCACCACAAGTACTGTATGTGGTTAATGAAGATACGATTCCTTGCAAAAGGTTTATATTTGGTGTATGAACATCTTAACACCTTAATAAAGAGTTTATTGGGGGGGGGGGTTAAATCGCATCAATGTCGTTAAAACCCGCCACCACCCAACACGGCCAACTAGTAAGGGTTGTCAGAAAGGGTAAAACCTATAATTGTTTCACAAGTTACCTTTTGTTAAGAGGCTTAGTTTAGGCGTAGGATCCGGGTTACGGGGTGGTTAATGACAGCTGGATCTAAGACTGATTTTCTCGCCGCCAATCTGTCTGGGCAGTAGTCTCGGCCGGTTTTTTTTATCTCCATGAGAATTAACTCTTCGAGCGCGAGTTCATTTTGTTGAAACCAGGTGAGACTTCACACGAGAAATCATCCGAGGCACGCCGTGGTATCTCGTTCGCAAAGGGTAACTCTGGGTCACCCAACATGACACAACACAAAAAAGCCCTCCCAATACTCGCCCATTACCTCGTCAAGTAAGCCGCGTTACGATAACCATTTACGGGTCGCGTTGTCTCGCATGCACGGAGGGGAGTGGGGGTGGTTTGTGGTGGTGGTGCCGACTTTTAATCATCGACAGTGAAGATAGCGAGCGACCTTCATGGTCGAGGCCTAAATGGGCCTGGCGGTCTCGTTGAAGATCGGTTGCGTCAGCGCCATGTCACACACACACAACAACAAAACACAACGCAAGAGGCACCACAAAACAGTCCACGAAGCTATAGAAGCAGCCCCGGTCAGCATTAACGAACGCTTGTGTAAGATAAGTTGATCAATTAGCGACGAAAGAACGTGACGGGAGAGAGAGAGAGAGAGCGCGAGAGAGAATCGTGGAGATAGGCAGTCCATGTTTGCTCTTCCTTGCACGACTCTTACCACAACACACAACACAGAAAACGAGCGCGGTTGAAGTCTGTCGAAACGACCTCGCACAAAACCCCGCAGCCGCTGCGACCCATCCAGCAGTAGATTGACCAAAGGCGGCTGTTTTACTTTGCGAGGAACATTTGAGTGGGGAGGGAAGGGGTCAGGCCTAAACGCAATGGTGGTTCGTCTTCGGTCGCTCACCTTCGGCCAGCAAGGCAGTGCAGACAGAGATGAACACGATGAGTATCGTGTCGGCGAACATGGTGGACATGATTTCGCTTTGTTGTTTGTTCGTCGTCGTCGTCGTGTTCAATTGATCGACGACGACGAGGAGGAGGATGAGGAGGAGGAGGGCGGATAGGGAGCCTAGCCGCGGGCCGACCCCTCAGCGAGGCGAACAGGGAAAAAGGGAAATCTTTGCCGGTCCCTTGAATATGAAGCCGCGGTCGAGCTGTCCGCGGCGCCCGCCTGCTCCTTCGTTCGCTCGTTGTTCTCCTCCACCCCCAACCCCCTCAATTTAGTCGACATAGCGAGGCGGCGAGACGGCGACGTCGAAGCGCCCGAGACGTTTTAATGCCGAGCGAAGGCCGCGGCAGGAAGGGAAAAAAAAGAAAAACGCGGTGCGAGGATGGCGCAAAGATCTTCGGGCGACTACGGCGGCGGGCCCCGCGGGGTCCCTGCGAGAGTTCGTGCGAGCGAGAGTCGCGCTGTGAGCGCACGGCTGAAGCCGCCCGAGCGACCATCTTGGTGAGGGGAACTCCTCGCCTGAGTGGACGGAGCGCGCGACCCCCCCCCCCCTTCACATCCCCCCCCCCCTTCACATCCCCCCCCCTTCACATCCCCCCCCCTTCACATCCCCCCCCTTCACACCCCCCCCTTCACATCCCCCCCCTTCACATCCCCCCCCCCCTTCACATCCCCCCCCTTCACATCCCCCCCCCTTCACATCCCCCCCTTCACATCCCCCCTTCACACCCCCCCTTCACACCCCCCCCTTCACACCTCCCCCTTCACACCCCCCCTTCACACCCCCCTTCACACCCCCCCCTTCACACCCCCCCCTTCACACCCCCCCCTTCACATCCACCCCTTCACACCCCCCCTTCACACCCCCCCCTTCACCCCCCCCTTCACCCCCCTTCACGCCCCCTCTGCACCCCCCCCCTTCACACCCCCCCACCACCCCTTCACACCCCCCCTTCACACCCCCTTACATCCCCTTCACACCCCCCCCTTCACACCCCCTTCACACCCCCCCCTTCACACCCCCCCTTCACACCCCCCCTTCACACCCTCCTTCACCCCCCTTCACACCCCCTCTGCACCCCCCCCCCCTTCACACCCCCCCACCACCCCTTCACACCCCCCCTTCACACCCCCCCACCAACCCCTTCACACCCCCCCCCCCCTTCACACCCCCCCTTCCACACCCCCCCACCACCCCTTCACACCCCCCCTTCACACCCCCCCACCACCCCTTCACACCCCCCCCCCCTTCACACCCCCCCTTCACACCCCCCCCTTCACACCCCCTTCACACCCCCCACCCCCCCAACAGACTGTTGAGGCAAGTGCTGTTAGCGAGTGCCAGCACCTAGGAAGGTGCTGGCACTGTGGCACACGAGTGGGGGGTGGGGGTGTTGTGTGCCCAGCTCCACGCACCGGCCGCCTTTGTCTCCCCCCCCCCCCCCCCCCCAGTGGCGAAGTTTAAACAGCCCCGAAACCGGCTGCTCGTTCCATTGAATCGTCATCCCGTCGAGTGTGTGTCTAGTTATGTAGTGTGTGTGTAGTAAATGTGTAGTGTGTGTGCAGTGTGTGTGCATTGAGTGTGTAGTGAGCGTGTGGTGAGTGTGTAGTGATTGTGTGTCGTGTGTGTAGTGAGTGTAGTGTGTATGTGTAGTGTGTAGTGAGTGTAGTGTGTGTAGTGTAGTGTGTGTGTAGTGTGTGTCTAGTTGTGTAGTGTGTGTGTAATAAAATGTTTCGCTCCGGATGACGCTGCAAAGTATTATCTGTATTTTGATTTAGCGTGCTGATCTTAAAGGTGCATTGAAAAATTTGATGCTCCGACTGATGCTTCTGTTGTTGTGGAATAACTCATGCAGCCAGCTATGGCTCTAGGGTTTGGTGTTACGTGTTATTTATGTAGTTTATTGTTAAAAAAAAATAGGTCACAGTCCCTATGATCACTGTTACATTGCAATTATGGCTTTATTTTTTGGTGATTTCGAAAACGTTTTTTTGGTTTGGACATGTTTGTTTGTAGTACGGAGTTAGACTGATGGCCTTGATCTAAGTTTTTCTTGTGGTTGGGATTTTTGCACACAGCGTTGGTGTACGGTGCTTTTTCAGGAATAGTTTGCTATTTTATTCATGGATTTTTTGTTTGCACAGTCACATACTCACTTTAAGATGTTTTCTTGTTCGTGTTTTTGTGTGTTGTGGTTGCACCCGATTCAAGAGCCGAATGGCTCACAGGGCTATACCAAATATATAAATAAATAAACTAAAACATTCGAGGGAGGGTCGAGGCGACCTTTCGAGGGCGGGAGGCCCCCCAGGGGCTTCGGATTAATTCGTCACCGGTGTTGGTGGGTGGGCCCCGTGAGTGGGAATCGAACTCGGATCCGTAGCGCCCGTTAACCGCCACCAACAGCTCAGGGGTCAACCACCAACCACCACCAACCCAGGGGTCAACCGCCACCACCAACCCAGGGGTTAACCACCAACCACCAACCCAGGGGTTAACCACCAACCCAGGGGTTAACCACTAACCACCACCAACCCTGGGGTTAACCGCCACCACCAACCCAGGGGTTAACCACCAACCACCACCAACCCAGGGGTTAACCACCACCACCAACCCTGGGGTTAACCACCAACCACCAACCCTGGGGTTAACCACCAACCACCAACCCAGGGGTTAACCACCAACCCAGGGGTTAACCACCACCAACCCAGGGGTTAACCACCAACCACCACCAACCCAGGGGTTAACCACCAACCACCACCAACCCAGGAATTAACCACCAACCCAGGGGTTAACCACCACCAACCCAGGGGTTAACCACCAACCACCAACCCAGGGGTTAACCACCAACCACCACCAACCCTGGGGTTAACCACCACCACCAACCCAGGGGTTAACCACCAACCACCACCAACCCAGGGGTTAACCACCAACCACCACCAACCCAGGGATTAACCACCAACCACCAACCCAGGGGTTAACCACCAACCCAGGGGTTAACCACCACCACCAACCCAGGGGTTAACCACCAACCACCACCAACCCTGGGGTTAACCACCACCACCAACCCAGGGGTTAACCACCAACCACCACCAACCCAGGGGTTAACCACCAACCACCACCAACCCAGGGATTAACCACCAACCACCAACCCAGGGGTTAACCACCACCAACCCAGGGATTAACCACCAACCACCAACCCAGGGGTTAACCACCACCAACCCAGGGGTTAACCACCAACCACCAACCCAGGGGTTAACCGCCACCACCAACCCAGGGGTTAACCGCCAACCACCACCAACCCAGGGGTTAACCGCCACCACCAACCCAGGGGTTAACCACCAACCACCACCAACCCAGGGGTTAACCACCAACCACCACCAACCCAGGGATTAACCACCAACCACCAACCCAGGGGTTAACCACCACCAACCCAGGGATTAACCACCAACCACCAACCCAGGGGTTAACCACCACCAACCCAGGGATTAACCACCAACCACCAACCCAGGGGTTAACCACCAACCACCACCAACCCAGGAATTAACCACCAACCCAGGGGTTAACCACCACCAACCCAGGGGTTAACCACCAACCACCAACCCAGGGGTTAACCACCAACCACCACCAACCCTGGGGTTAACCACCACCACCAACCCAGGGGTTAACCACCAACCACCACCAACCCAGGGGTTAACCACCAACCACCACCAACCCAGGATTAACCACCAACCACCAACCCAGGGTTTAACCACCAACCCAGGGGTTAACCACCACCACCAACCCAGGGGTTAACCACCAACCACCACCAACCCTGGGGTTAACCACCACCACCAACCCAGGGGTTAACCACCAACCACCACCAACCCAGGGGTTAACCACCAACCACCACCAACCCAGGGATTAACCACCAACCACCAACCCAGGGGTTAACCACCACCAACCCAGGGATTAACCACCAACCACCAACCCAGGGGTTAACCACCACCAACCCAGGGGTTAACCACCAACCACCAACCCAGGGGTTAACCGCCACCACCAACCCAGGGGTTAACCGCCAACCACCACCAACCCAGGGGTTAACCGCCACCACCAACCCAGGGGTTAACCACCAACCACCACCAACCCAGGGGTTAACCACCAACCACCACCAACCCAGGGATTAACCACCAACCACCAACCCAGGGGTTAACCACCACCAACCCAGGGATTAACCACCAACCACCAACCCAGGGGTTAACCACCACCAACCCAGGGATTAACCACCAACCACCAACCCAGGGGTTAACCACCAACCACCACCAACCCAGGAATTAACCACCAACCCAGGGGTTAACCACCACCAACCCAGGGGTTAACCACCAACCACCAACCCAGGGGTTAACCACCAACCACCACCAACCCTGGGGTTAACCACCACCACCAACCCAGGGGTTAACCACCAACCACCACCAACCCAGGGGTTAACCACCAACCACCACCAACCCAGGGATTAACCACCAACCACCAACCCAGGGGTTAACCACCAACCCAGGGGTTAACCACCACCACCAACCCAGGGGTTAACCACCAACCACCACCAACCCTGGGGTTAACCACCACCACCAACCCAGGGGTTAACCACCAACCACCACCAACCCAGGGGTTAACCACCAACCACCACCAACCCAGGGATTAACCACCAACCACCAACCCAGGGGTTAACCACCACCAACCCAGGGATTAACCACCAACCACCAACCCAGGGGTTAACCACCACCAACCCAGGGGTTAACCACCAACCACCAACCAGGGGTTAACCGCCACCACCAACCCAGGGGTTAACCGCCAACCACCACCAACCCAGGGGTTAACCGCCACCACCAACCCAGGGGTTAACCACCAACCACCACCAACCCAGGGGTTAACCACCAACCACCACCAACCCAGGGATTAACCACCAACCACCAACCCAGGGGTTAACCACCACCAACCCAGGGATTAACCACCAACCACCAACCCAGGGGTTAACCACCACCAACCCAGGGATTAACCACCAACCACCAACCCAGGGGTTAACCGCCACCACCAACCCAGGGGTTAACCGCCAACCACCAACCCAACCAACGGAGGCTTCCTCGCGCAACATGGCGACGGCGCTCGCTTCGACGAAGCCCTCGACAGCCGCCGCTCGAGAGCGCGGCTCTAGGGGCGGCGCTCGGCATCGCTCTATAAAAGGCGAGGCCCGCCCGCTGCCGCCCCAGTATGGAGGAGGTGATGGCGGGAGACGCTCCTCTCGGTAGCCCCAGCGGCAGCTGCAGCTCCTCCTCCTCCTCGCAGCATCACCACCCGCGGCCCTTCCTCATCGGCGTGAGCGGCGGCACGGCCAGCGGCAAAGTATGTGGGACCCGTTTCTCGCGTGGAGTTTTGTTATCAAAAAGAAAAACATTTTTGGAGGGAATTTTTTTTTTGGTGCAGGAAAAGCGGCGACTGCACTTGACCACCCATTGTCTCGGAGTTCGCGGCGGGGGGGGGGGGGTCCTCAGCCGAGCGGGGGGGGGGAAAGTTGGACCTTTATTGATAATCGAATGTATTTTTTTTTAGTCCGTCGAAATGGGTTGACAAGTTGTACAACGATCGTTTAACAAAAACAATCTTAAAATATATTGTTTTTCTAGTATTTAATTCTACTACACAGGGATAGGCGCCATGTGTCGTGACGGCGAAATTAGCTGACGTGCGAGATCCCCCCTCCCACACACCCCCCCTCGAGTCACCCCATTTACATTACCCACAAGGGATGCGCGCACGCCGCCCTCCGATTGGTCGACTCGACGCCGACCGGGAGCGGCTCGACCAATGAGCGCTCGTAGCGCATGTGGGCTACGAATTCTAAAGCCGCTCCGCGAGCACGTGTTCTCAAGCGCTCCACATTCACGCGCCTCGTGTGCCCGCTCGCAACTTGGTGAAGTGTTAACTAATTACCACCACTAACGAGTCAACCAGGCTGCGCCAAACTTTGCGTAATGTGCTTGTGATACGTTGTTATTGGGCGGATTTAGCAGGTGCATTATAGATGCTAGGCCTAGCGACGTACTGTACATCAAGTATGCTGAGCAATAGGCTCAAAAGGGACCAGTGCCAAACAACACTGTTAAATTACAAAAAGGTGAGCGTAGATCCGTTTGAATTGACGAACGTAAGCACTCGAGAAAAGAGGCGACGGAAGGGCATTCCAAAGTCGAGCAGTGCGGGGCAAGAAGCCGTGTTGTGACCTGCGGTGCGGTTGAACACTCTGGGTCTGGCAGACCGAGACTGTGGGTAGAATAAACGAAAACGCATCAAAAACTATTTCCAGTTTCATTCTGTGTGGTGATGATGATTGTCATCTACCAATTCACCCATCACATCGCTCCGCCCCCTACAATCGTGCCGCTTTCCCCCCCCCATTGCCCGTGTCACGTTGGGCAGTGTCTCCCGCCTATCCTCGTGTGCACTCGCATTGTGAAACACTCCCGCCTACTGCCCCGCACACAGTCACTGTATAACCGATACAATTCGTAATTATGTTTTCGTAGGGTTAGGGGATCCGACTTATTTGACACGATTTATTCTGCGTCTACCGGTGGCGGAGCTGCTGGTGGACTGCGTGCTCTACAAAGCTGCCCGGCTTAAGTTTCAATCCCCTATCGCGGCTAACATCGGTGGACATTGATACCTGAACGGGTCCTGGGCATGCCATCCTTCAATCCGCACTGTGACCAGCATGGTTAAATATGGCCAAACAACCCCCACGGCTGCCAACTGCATGGGGCTATGCCTATCCTGCATGGTATCGTAATGCTATAACTATCAACGCTCTTAACCAGAAAACAATTGAACCCATTTATTTTTGGGGGCACTAAAATTAATAGAAAGTGGATGAAGCCTTGCAGTGGACATTTGTGAAAAAGAGCTTTATAGCTTATCGGATTTATCCCGGCTGAATACAGATTCTGATACTAAGTTGCTCATAACTATTACCTGTATTTTGTAGTCTTAAGGCCAAAATATGCCTCTTGGTTGAATGCGAATTGTGTAGTGACCTCTACAACCAGAGCTTCAGACCTCAGCTCTTCTCATTTTACAATGTGGACTGCAGTCGTGTGGGGGGCGGAGAGAGCCCCACGTCCATCACTAGTCGCTGGGACAGACCCCACATTGTCCTCTCTGCCGTTATTAGAATCTGGTAACGTTCTGCGGCAATTTGACTTAACAGTCCTCTGGCTTTTTCCTGGAGGAGGCCTCCGATTAAGAATACCGTTGCATCATATTATACCTAAGCAATGTTTACATGAAGGTCTTTGAGAAGTTCAACTCCGCCAATCACTTGTGTAAGTTGAGAAACGTCCACTTTACAACACCGAATTGGTTCTGAAAAAAAAACCCCACTGAGGTAACTCTTACAAATCTGACTCCTGGTCTAGGTTGAGTTCTCACCTGGTTAAACATAATCAACTTGATGGTGTATGTGTTTCGATGTAAAGCTTTCGTGACTACAGGGATTCATATTCTTGGTTCTTTCGGTAGGTCACGTAGAAGGGAAATAATAAAATAATGAAAATAAAACAATACAATTCTCACGACGTTTCGATTGCAACGCAAGCAATCATCATCAGGTGTGAAAACCAGAGCAAGAAAATATGAAATTTTCTTCGTGAGAATTTTATTGTTTTGTTTTTATTATTTTATTATTTCCCTTCTACGTGACTTTACCGAAAGAACCAAGAATATTGTGTATTTGTGGTTAATGCGTCACTTTCACCTTCGTGTTTCCACAAAAGCCGTGGGTGGTATTAGTCACCTGGAGCTCATTCAGAATGTCACATTAACCGTTTCCTAAACACATTCGCAACAGTATAAAAGGCATTCGTTTTGCCGTTCCATTGTAAGGGAGTGCTACCATATTGTAACACTCGTGGCCCTAAAATATATTGAATGCAATCCCTCATGCAAATGGTATCAGAGTGAAACAGCACTGGGTTTACATTAAAATGGGGAAGTTCCTCGGAATTTACAAATACAAGTTTCCATATTTCACTGGAAAATATATAACTTCCGTTTTTTTCCAAAATGGAGCGAGGTTCCTCGACATCCCCCACTCGCTGGTGTTTGTGGCAGCGATTGCATCGATTTCGTAGGGTTTTCACAAAAGTGGCTTGCTGCTTTGTATGTATGGTTAATTTATTTTGCACCGTACGTAGGCAACCGTGGCTAATCGGAGGTGCGGGGCTATTAAACTAAAACTAAATGAAACAATTTTTTTATTTATTTTACCAGGTAAGGCCCACTGAGCTTATTGAGCTCTTTTTTGTCAGAAACGACCTGGTCACAAATGATAGCTCATTTGTATTTATAGCAGCCAAATGCTATAAACGCACGTTTTAAAAATGTGGAGGGAAAAACCGGAGGACCCGGGGAAAAAATTCACGCGACTACCAGGACAACATGCAAACTCCACGTCTGCAGGCGGTCGGGGTCAGGATTGAATCCACGGAGATAACATCTCGCTGCTGTGGCGCTATGGTGATGGAGGGGGTGCTTATTTCCTGTTTACAGCCGTGGAGAGCTAATAGTGGAAATTCAACATTCCTGTGAGCAAAAAAGTACTGTCTAAAAGTAGAATTCATCCCGTTTATGTTGATTTTCTTTTCACATTCATCTCCATCCTAAAAAGTATAGATGTGTACATTTTGATATCCTGGTTGTGACTAATAAAAGTGTGTTTTGAAATATCCGTACATGTTTAGTGATACCACGGATCATCCCCAATTTTTTTGGGAAGACTCTATCTCATCCTTATTGCCGTTACATATTTAGTCATATAAGCAGCACCGATTTAAGCCAAAACGCGTGGGCACAATATTAAAGCTAGGGTGTGTGATTTTCTTCAGTCCTCATGCCCTTTCTCAATTAACAATGAATTGCGACCCAAACTAAAACATCATTTTGGCCACGTAAAAACTGAATGGGAAATCCCAGCAAGTGATTGGCAGGTGTCGTTTGCGTGCACGGGGCCACGTTTCCTGCGCGCACCGCGCTCCACTGCGCCCTCTAAAGGTTGCCACGTGGCACAGTGCTGGCCGTGCAGGCGCCAACGAATGGGAGCGGGGATGGGGTGGAAGAACGGGGGCAGGGGGGGGTGCCACCCAAGAAGAGCCATCTGCCCAGGCATCACGCATGATATATATTTCACACGTTGTTTGCTGTACTGCGTCAGCACCCACGGTGCTTGCGGAGGAGGATGGGGGGGGGGAGAGGGCTTTTCTTTGCAAATGCCACTAGCCAGCAGTGCCGCAGCACGTGTTTTTATCAGGCCACACATTGTTGATAAGAATCATAAAAACGGTGAAACTGGTTCAGAGGTTTACTGAAACAGATGTGGAAATTCGATGGGCCGTCGATGACTCTGGTGTTTAATTGCTTCCGTGGCGAGGCAGCTGCACGTTCACACATGGCGCTGGTCTCCAAATGTGCGCACGTGACCGCTGTGTTTTTACTCCAGAGGCAATGAGCCGTCGCAACAGTTTCCTCTGCAAGTTTTATGCCCTGGAAAAGTAAAATTATATTTTCCACCTTCCTGAGGTGCCCCCCCCCGGGTGACTCTCAGATAGGTCAGAGAGCCAAAAATCCTTGGTTTGAATGTGGGCCTTTGCATGTGAGATTAGACCTTCTTAAGTGTAATGATTCTGATGGTCCTTGCACAAGTCGGTCACCAATGGCTTGAGTGATCAACCGATTTGCAGGTAAGGCCCACTGAGCTTATATGGCTCTTTTTCAGAAGCGACCTGGTCACAGATGAAAGCTCAACGGAAGTGGCTTTTCATGTGAAAAGTTATCATAGCCAAATACTCTAAACGCATGTTTTTAAATGTGGAGGGGAAAAAACCGGAGGACCCGGAGAAAATGTACACGGCCAGGGGGAGAACTTGCAAACTACAAATATACAGCCATCTCAGGGTTGGAATTCAACCCACGACCTCCTCGATACCAGGCAAGGCAGTTAACATCTCGCCACCACGGTGCACAAATGTTGCTATCTCCCATAGAAGGCGAGCTAGCACAGAGATATTATTAAAGGAGGGGATGAGTTTCTGATGTTGCATTTTTGGGGTTTCTACATCAAATTTCCAAATTTTTTTCATTTTCGGATAAAATTGCAGACTTAAAATAATTGCCAGTGCACTAAATGTAGTAGTTTTAATAATTGAATTTAGAAATGGTTGATTTGAAATATTCAACAGTTCAAGCTTTAAAAAAAAATTGTGAAAAAATATATATTGTAACAATTCCAGTAAAGGTGGCCTTGTGCGTCCATCAATATTGTGACGAGACTCGACGAGGCCCAGGCACGAAGTGCCGTCGTTTTGTATGACGACACCATTTTAGATCCATACGAAACAGCGTGGCCTTATTTTTTTTTACTTTTGGGATTCGAAAATCAGGAACGCATCTCCCTTCTTGTGAAGCTTGCAAGTTCTGGCCTCCATCCATTTTGAAACGTGCATAAACCCCACCAAATATCGTCTCTTAGTAGGGCCCTCTCCACGCATTCACCTTTTTCAACGTACGCCTAGATGAATAAGACCTTTAGTTCAGATTTGAAAAATGTGATGGAGTTTGTTTGTCAGATTACGTTCATAGTGATCGAAGAGTGATTGTTAATCTTGTGTTGGTGGGTATAGGGAGCCAATGGCGGCAATGAATTCGAGCACCTGTACCATCTGAAATGTTGCAGATACCAATGAAGGTGATACCAATGAGGATAATCCATTGCAATGGAATTTATCTTGCGATTCCTTTGCTTTTTTTGCAACTATTTCCGATAAATATTGGCCTTTAAAACACAGGTAGCACTTAACCCACTTTAACAGGGTGTTTAAATTTGAACTAGGTTGTGAAATGAAAGAAACTTTACTTTAAATGCATCGTCTGATATTAGTTCACCGTTATTAATTCATCTTGCGACGCCCAGTTACTGTAAAAAAAGTGCACTCGCGTACACAAAACTCCACTGTACATAAGCCACTTGTGTTAACATCCGTATTATTTCAAGCACACATTTCATGACCCCCATATGAAAATGTTAACTTTTTCATATTGGTTTTTTATGACCTTAGGATTTTTGTTTTGTTTAAAGTAGGCGCTTTTGCCGATTAGATTCACCTTTGACCGAATTATAAAAAAAATTGTCCGAACTTGTTAGGTCGCGAAAGCCAAGCATTGTTTGAGCCTGCAGCTTGCTTAGATGGGTGAAGTGGTGAGCAGCTGAGGGTAATACAACAAAATATATTGTAATGTACTCTTATGTTCCCATGTCTGAGCTCCCAGCCTTCACCAATTCACACTGACCGGCATGGTGATGTAAGTCAAACCCCCAATGAATCCTAGCGTGAGGAGGCCCTCATCCAGTTGTCAATTGACAAAAGGGCTGTACGTGTGATTGTATCATCATTGATCGGTGCTGCCAAGAATTCCACTTGGCCTTCATTTTTAACATCTGCTTGGGAGCTTCCTGTTGGGAAGTTCGGCAACAGTGGTTGCCCAGTGGATTTAATCTCTCCTGCCGTGAAAATATTTCAACAATCGCCCGGCTTGCGGCTTAAGCACCTTCCCATGCTCACTTCAGTGGGCAACTGCTCTGATGGGTTTTTTTTGTTCAATTATATTAACATTCTCCTCTCTCTGCAGACCCCGACATAAGAGCGAGAGTTCCTTCTGTGTTTGCTATTGAAAGAAAAGCATCGCTCTGCTCGACTTGGCTTTTGTGCGTGCGTGCGTGCGTGTGTGTGTGCGTGCGTGTGTGTGTGTGTGTGCGCGCGTGTGTGTGTGCGCGCGTGTGTGTGCGTGTGTGTGTGTGTGCGCGTGTGTGTGCGCGTGTGTGTGCATGTGTGCGCGCGTGTGTGTGCATGTGTGCGCGCGTGTGTGTGTGTGTGCGTGCGGGCCACAGTCGACCGTGTGCGCCAAGATCATGGAGTTGCTGGGACAGCATGAGGTGGACCAGAGACAGAGGCAGGTGGTGATCCTCAGCCAAGACAGCTTCTACCGCGAGCTCTCCCCTGAGCAGAGCGCCCGCGCTGCCAAAGGGCAGTTCAACTTCGACCATCCTGGTACGTTCGTACATAGCCAACCGTGCTAATTGTAGATGCACCTGTGTCTGCCCCCTCGCTTGTATGTGAGAAGCTTGGGGCAGAACCCTCCCTCCCCCCACCCCCAGCTGAGTGATGGGATGGTGATGTTCGAATTTGGCGATGACACGGGAACTTTGACTCTTGTTTCTTAGCTGTAAGATGGCTCTATCGTTACACCAGGCAACCGAGCAAGCATTTGTTTTAACAAGCAAAGGACTGCTGATGAGCCTAGTAGAAGTTGAAACCTGGTCAATTAAGGATTTTATTGCCTCAAACAAAATGGTGCTGTAAAATATTGGCCAGGAAAGTCCAATTGGCCGATGGATTCAATACATTTTTTTGGCAATGAAACGATCGCGTTTATAGATTGCCACTGAAAGCACGCAATCCTTGGAAGACACTGCTGTACAATCTCACTTGTGCTCTCGTGTGATGTGAAGTGTGCGGTGTTTGTGTTGGCACTGTGTAAGTGCAATATCATACCCGTCTCATGGCTTAAAGCTGTTAAGGCAGACTGACTTGGGTGGTCAATGAATGTGTACATGGAGTCGGCCATCTGACATCTGCCATGAAGAATTTACGGAGGTGGCCGTGTGGTTCATCGGTCCCGAGTGTGTGTGCTGGTAGTGCCGGGGTTCTGGTTTGGAATCCAGGCAGCCGCCGGTCGTATAAAAAAAACATATCAAGTGTAGCGGTCAAAGCCCCCAGTGGCTCATGACGGTGCAAAAAAAAACATTAATCGCATTGAATTTAGTTTGGCACGCTTCATTTGGCTAAATTCCAGTTCTGAGAATTGAAATGTCAGTTTTACGGTCATGTGGCAAGCCTCTCCCTCGTGCAGAGCGAGTGAGGTCACTAGAACGGGATCGCGGCAGTAGGTCTGTGAAATCTACTTCTGTGGGCTGTTTTCCAGTACGTAGACTTGCACTTACCCCCCCCCCCCCCCCGTATTGCGTTTATAAAACGATTCTTTGTTGCGAAAAGTGCGAGGAGAAAAAAAATCGATTGCCAAAGCACACTCTACTAGTAAGTTAAAGTGAAAGACATCGTTTCATAGATTACAAGTGATTTGCATAGGCGTGTAAACCTAATATGCCCAATTAATGATTTTGTACCCAATTAAAATAATATTAAGTTAATTGCACTGTTGATGGCTGTCCCCTCCATGATAGTTTTGCCAGTCTCCTTTGTGAAAGGGCAGAAAAAGTTAATCTCATTGGGGGTTTTAACTGCTTAAATTAAGAAATCTGTCATCCTACAAAGCGGGGGAACTCCTCGCAGCTGGATTGCGGCATTGGGACGCCCAACAGCATTGCGGTAATTCGGACTTCTGCATTTTCAGCTGTGCTGCCAAGAATGGTTCGTTGCCTCAATGTTGTTATAAGTGCACTCGAATTTGGGGAGGGCGGGGGGGGGGGGGCGTCTTTTTGTTCACTTTCTGCACGTGTCAAGCTTCACGTTTAACGTATAATCCATGACTGATCGAACCGTTACTCTCTCATGGAAAAGCTGCAGTAAACCACATCTTTGAGTTTATGCTCGTACGAATTTGCTGCCGAAAAAATTCAATGAAAGAACTGTTTTCGCTGGTAGGGGGTGGGGGGGAAAAGGGGGTGGTAATTTATGGCCCAAATCGAAATAGTTTCCATGCAACATTTTTTTCACGCTGCATTCTTTGGCGTGCCAAAAAAGTCAATAAGGATATTATTTTCATGCGGTTTATTTATAACACTTGCACTCACTTGACTCTGAAGGGCGACAAGTAAATAAATACCTTCATAATACGTTAAACAGTTTTTGGTTGATGCTAACCAGTGAACGTCCGACGTTCAGAGCTCCCAAGTGTTGGTGCACGTTCATTCGAATGCTTTTTTTTGTATCCACTTGCGAGTTGCGGGTTTGCCAAGTTTGACTGATTTCAGGAAACTAACATCTGCGCTTTTGCTACATCTTTGTATGCTTTGGACGCAGCTGTTGCAGTTCCGCCATTATCGCGTAACGAATGGGCGGACCTAGGAATGCAGTGGCTGAGAATCGCAACGATTGTGATGCATGATGATTCGTGGCCAGATGTGTAGTTTATTTTTTGCTGTAAAACGATCTTTTTTTAAAGTAATTTTTTTGCTTCTTTAGTGGGCAATTCCCTTGTACCACTACGCCAGAATACAGCGAATTAGAGAGCATGCGCAGGTTAAATACTTCATTTTGCACTGGTCGTCAAAACGAGTGGGGATTCGGGAAGGACGAATCGCTGGAAGGGTGGGGGGCGAAAGTAACTCCAGTAGCAGCCAACAGAGGGCACGCGCCCGAGAGGACGTCAACCGAGAAAAATCAAGACCGCTTGTACGCCGGTGCTGAGCGCGCATCATTGCATCACGTGATTGTGAGAAATGACGGTGGCTAATGGGGTGGGGGGGGGGAGGCCTTAATCCAGCGGTGGATGAATCGTGTGCTGATTATGATGATTCTTAAGAGTGAAAGGAACCAATTTTGGAGTTTCATGTTCACACTTTCTAACCAAGACTGCGGCTGGTTAATGCAGCCCCCCCACCCTTAAAATGTGCAATTAACGATCATGGAATTTCCATCTGTACTCATGACTAAGCGTTGGAGAAAGTGGGTTGCCGTTCATTCACTAGTCTTCGTCGTGTTGAACCCAGATTTTTTGGGCGGTAGAGAAGCAATGCAGCGCTGCTGTTCTGCGATAATAATGATCCGTCTGAAACGGTGCTGCCTTTTGGCGATGTCTGTGCGGATTTTCGAGCTTAAATACATAAGCCACGTGGGCAGTGTTTGCGTAGAATTCTTAAACAATGCCGCTTGCTTTATTTGGACCACGGCACTAGATCCTGTCGAGGCGACGTTACTTGGTAATGTGTAAGAGAAACAATCACGAAAATAACTCTGCATTTTAATCCACTTTGCTATGAACAGGGAATCCTACGTGCAGGAATGTATATGTACCAAGTGCTTAGCATTGAGTTTTATTTTAACTAACGTAATAACGTGTCGTGAAGGAACGAACACAAGGGTCTGCGGTTTTTATTTGCGTATCGAGTGGGGGGAAGCCTCTGGTAAGCGCGATTGACTTGTTCCAATGTTTGGAGCATTTTATACCCTCCTATCCGTCTCTATTTATTCATCAAAGGAGACCACATGTTTTCACGAAAACCTTTTTACGTATGTGGATGTTGAACGTCTTTTGCACCGTACGTAGCCAACCGCGCTAAGCGGAGGTGTGGGGAAGGATGACAAACTAAAGACAAAAAATACCCACGTCCAAATCCTACAGATTTTTGGTGACAATACTGGCAATGGAATATGTTTAAAATGCTTTTCCCCCCCCCCCCCCCCCCCCTTTATAACAAAAATTAAGGGAACTCGATGTTTCCCACAACGCAAACTAAAATGGATTCTTGTTTTGTGGTCTCCGGAGTGAGATTGCAGCTAATCCCATGTCTTCTATCGAAAACGATGATGCTTCCCTGTAAAACCCCTCGCATAGCTGTGCTGCGATTGTGTACGCAGCTGTGCCGGAGGACTGTACCTTGACATTTGACGTGTTTAGGAAAGAAAAGGGCAGCCGGGCCACACCCAGTTGGCATTTCTTTAACACTCATCATACCTCCTAAAGCCATCGAAGCCAGACGGCAATGTTGAGGTTACAGCTTGTGATCAATGTGTTATGTTTACAATGTGTTTGTTTTTAATATGATATCATCACTGAAAGCTTCAGTGTATAATCACTGATGAGGCCAAGGTGTATCGAACGAAAAAATGCAACGTCAGACAGAATTGAGCAAAAACATCCGACGCAAAAACCTTTTTCAAAGTTTGAAGTCTCATTTGAGATTTTCCCCAGTTTAAACAAGTCGGTGATTGCCTGCTCATATGAGCATAGAAGCAGTGCCCATCGTATTTAAATCCCTGAGCCAGTGTAGGACATTCCACGATGCTATGGCAGGAGGGAGTTCATCGATAGGACAACCACCGTTGATATCCTGGTGAAGTGGGTCGCGTTAAATGGGCCGAGTCGACCCTGAATTAGGATTTGATTTTTGACTGCTCCGACCGTGAGCAGCTCCCTCTTACGCTAAGCCACCTGACCAATGAGGACTCTTGATATAATATTCAGAGATCTTCGTTGCAGTGGTTATGCACACACATACTTTTTTCGGTGTTATTAGGGCACAGCAGTGGAAAGAGATCTGATAATGTACCTCCGTCGTCCTGCTCTTGTACATTATCAGATCAGCACTGGAGGGCAGCGAGGGGTCTGGTGGATCGCACGGATGATGTGAAACTCCTTTCCCGTGGGGTTTGAGGTGCCATTCGCTGGCTCTCCTAGAGAATGTGGTCCAGCAAAGTGTGGCCTCGTATAGCTCGTCCCTTCCGTTTGAGACGGTGTTCCCCTCTCTCGCACGCGTGGGTTTTCTCTGGGCGCTCTGGTTTCTTCCCACATGCATGAACACTCAATGATCGGCTGAAAATAACTTTATATAGAGGAGTGCACAGCTTGGGCAATTGTTTATCGCCGGCTCACCACCTGGAAGCCTTCAAGCTTGTCCGTGGTTCTTCAGCGATTCTGAGATGCAAAATGCATGAACGACACCATATAAAACTCAACATTATTATTATTAATAAAGTTTTGGTTATGGCTGTGTTTTTTTTTTATGTAACGAGCCACGCAAACCACAACGACGCACATTTTTGCCCCATGTTTCTGGTGCATTTAGTGTCGCGACAGTCCAGATTAAAACAGCCTGCCATGTGGTGGCCACCATTATGTATGCATGTTGAACCACCCGTGCGAATGGAAGGTGCGTGGGAAGGACAATAAAACTAAGAACACAAAGTGAAGTGTTCCAGGATCTGTCACCAAGTGCCCCCCCCCCCCCACCCCCTCCCGCCTGTGCCGACATTCAGAGGCCTTCGACAATGAGCTCATCATGAGGACGCTGCAGGACCTGGTGGCTGGGCGTGCGGCCCAAGTGCCCGTCTACGACTTCGTCACCAGCTCCAGGTGTGGAAGGGTGGGAATCTGCTTCATCAACCCCTTCGGGTTAGGGGTTGTCGATCTTCATCCGCTCCTGTTGATGTCCACTCCGGGACACGGCCTGCCAGCAGCTGTGCCCCTCCCTCCCCCCCCCCCCCCCCCCCCCCCCCCCCCCCCCCCCCCCCCCCCCCCCCCCCCCCCCCCCCCGTCAGGTCGAAACCACTCCAACGATCCACTACCATTTAAGTCCTTTGTTACTTTGCCATTGATTTAAACAACCTTTGTCTCGATTTCAATTCTCCCTCCCCCCTCTCATGTTTCGTTGCGGATGCCCATGAGAGCAGGCCAAGACTTGTTAAAATCGTGGCGTTTTACAGTCTCCCATTGTGGTGGTTTATTGCCATTGTTAATGAGCAGGATATCAATTCCTGTGCTTGCTTCGTTTTACATGTCGCAGACAATTGGATTGCTAATTCACGTTTGTAAGTCTCAGAATAAGGTGCTCAAAATAACACTCGGCAGTTATAATTGGCAGTTATAACCTGGCACGTGTTTTCGAGGTCCGTTCTTGTCACAACTGAAGCCCAAAATACATGAATTTTAAAAAAAGCTATCGCAGGCTGGGTTCCACACAACAAGTCCTCGCATCTGCATTTTTGTAACTCCATGCGGCCACGGGATCGCGTGACCAAATGTAATTCCTTCCACAGCAGCGGGCGAGCTCGTCGATCGATAGCAAGGTCTCTCTCTCTCTGTCTGCGTGTGTGCGCTTCATTGATTGTGGCGCGACGTGTCAGGCCCCATCGCACCCCCCCCCCCCCCCTCCATCTCCATTCCATGCATCCGGTTGGGATGGCATTGTCCAGCCTTGGGCCGAGGTGTGCCGGCGACTGGATGGGTGTGGGGGTGTGGGCTGAGCGTGTTCCTACCTGTCAAGTTGGCGCTGGTTCAGCAGGAAACGCTAAACCCTGTCCGTCCGGCCTAGGTGCAGCCCCAACTCGCGGGTGCCTGTCCCCGACCGTCATAGGCGTCTCTTTGTTTTGTTTATTTTCCCTCCTCCACCGCGTCACGAAGAGGGGCACTGGGGTTTTCTCGCGCAGTTACACAAAAATGAAGAACACACACCACGGAGAGACGCACATTTGTGGGTTCGAGGTTGATTCCCTGGGAGGGGAAACGAGGCGAATGGATTTAAGAGCCCTCTGGACTTCCATGCCCCCTACTCTTTGAGATTTTTTTTTTTACATCAGATTTAGGGGGAAGCAATTCTTGCGTCTCATGCCGTGCAGCTTGGGTGCGTTGACCTGCTTGATTTGTAGGAAAGTTGGTGGTGTGAGCAGTGCATGCAGGACTTTGTTTATATTTGTAGCTTGCCACCAGGAAGCACCATTTGCAGGGCCGCTTTTGGCAGGAAAACCGCGCCCCGTATCACGAGCCGCCACGCTCGCTCCGCACAATCGCCGCCGGACTCCACTATGCGGAGATATTAAGGGTACCCCCCCCCCACCATTTTTCCGCAGCTCTGGCTCGTCTAGGAGAGTCCGGTGCGTAAACCACCTCCTGCCACCGCCCCCCCCTCTTCCATCTGCGTCTTGACACGTTGAGCATTGAGAACCGATTTGAATACGCTTGACTTCAGTAAGAAACCAGAGCCTTCTCCTGTTGCAGCAGAGCCGTGCAGTAGCGACTGATTGCCCGGGTGAATCGACTGGCCATTTGGTTGCTGGTCTCTGCCATGTCCAGGCGTGTTTGATTTTTGGCCCTTGTGTGCTCTCAGTGCTCTAAGTGATTGGTGGGAGGGGGTGGGGGTGGAGAGTATCGCAGTTCCGTCATCACATTACTCCTCGGGGGCTGCTTCAATATCAGGGTCACCCTCCAGGGCTTAATTTCATCTGAGGTTTGTCCGTTCCTGGGACGTGGAAAAATATTTCCACGCCTAGACCACCGTGCCCATCGGACCTCTCGCTATGGCTGTGACTAACATCTACCAGTGACCCGGTTAAACATTCAGTGAGAAATTAAGCCCTGGCCTCGCCTCTCAGTTGTGCACCACGTGGTCTAGTGCTTCCAGGGCAGTGGATTAATAAAAGATGAACTCTTCCTGTCTCATGCTTTGCATCTCTTTATTACCTGGCTCTTATCGCCTACTAATGGACCATGTAATGTATTTATATTGCCTTTCTTGCCTGCCTTCGTAATGTGGTCCTTATCGATAATGGAGAAGTTTCCACAAGCGTAGAGCAAGTCGCAACTCTGTTTTCATGCCTTATTATTCCAGCTTTCCGTGACCAGGAGTTGAAACAGGGTGGTTGCATTGTGGCTCTGGTTAAGAACTGGGAGTGCCACAATCCTGTGTTTAAATCCTTGCAGCCACCCATGATGTAAAAATATGTATTCAAGGGTAGGGAGTTTATCCTTAGCTCAATCACCAGTGAACTAAACAAACACCTATGAAAGTTATATCTTTCACTTAATTTGGCCCGTTCCTGCGCTGAGGACTTTTTTTTGTTTGATTACCGCGCGATGAAAATACTTTACAGTACATGCATGTATGTGCCACCTAGTGTCGATAAGAGACCTACAAAAAGGGACTTTCTGGAGCCGGTCTCCCACAAGGTGGTACACTGCTCACTGTACGAGTTCCAACTGAAAATATCTTTACAACATAATCATGCCAATGGCATAAAAATGTAACTGTCGCTCTGAAGGATATCAACAACTGTTTGGGGAAGCTTTCATCCGGCAGTAGCTTGATATCGCTGATGACAAACGAATAATATGATCGGATAAATAAGGCGTGCCTGCCCACACTTCTCTTCTGTGGGAAAACATGGAAAGCTGGAAAAAGTTTCCGAGCCGTCACTTTGTCTGAGGCCCCCCCCTCGCTCAGAAGCCAAAGGTGATGGTGGTGGTAATAGCGAAGTGAGGCATGGAACTTGGTCGTAGTTCGGAGGGTGGTTGCACTCTGAAGCTGTGGTGATGGTGGTGGTGGTATTGGTGGTGGTAATAGCGTGGTGAGGCATGGGGCTTGGCCGTAGTGGGAGGGTGACGACAGCGGCGGTGGTGGTGTGCGGCGGCGTTGCTGGTGTGCGGTGGCGTGCGGTGGCGTGCAGGACGGCCGAGTTGATGGTGTACCCGGCCGACGTGGTGCTCTTTGAGGGCATCCTCGTCTTCTACCTACAAGAGATCCGGGACATGTTCCACATGAAGCTCTTTGTGGACATGGATGCCGACACGAGGCTCTCCCGGAGAGGTGCGACTCCACGCAAACCGCGCGTGCCCTCGGGTCTCTCTCTTGTTCCTCCTCCGTGCGCCGCATGCGGCCTCAACCAATAAGAGGCTGAACAGTGCCTAAAAATCTGGTCCAATTTTCTAAGTGGTCCTTGAGCCCTTGGCCTGAAAAATTGCTGTCGGTACCGTGTAAGGTGGAAAAATCCCAACGATTTTTTTCGTAGCATATTATCGCTGTCACAGATATTCATGATGGCAAGACTTTCGTAGTAGATGTATATGCGAAACGTCATTTTAAAATGGTATGTTTGATAGAAATTTTCGTGACAGAGAGAAGACATACAATTGCGACTCATGAAACGTGCTTGTGTAATACGAAAGGAGAACGTGAACCATCTGTAAAAACCCACCGAACATGGTCGACACTGCCCTTGATGGATTCTGGCAGCAATTTTTCCGCCCTCCAGGTGGTACCGACCAAATCCCCCCCTTGGCTCATGGGCTAAATGGCACCTGGAGCCCCCTTTGCCTTCGTAGCTGTCATTTGACCCTGCTCAATCGGTGCCCGTCACGTAACACTTGACGTTGCCGTGCTCCTCGTACGTTTCTTCACCTCCCCTGTGACGTTGCCCCCTACTTCCCTAACCCATTTATCTTCAACGCGTGTGTTTTTAAATGCTGATTAAATTAAATGTTGCAAGGAGAGGCTTGCCAGAGCCATGGCGGTTCATGTGAGTGGCCCTTTAACGCTGACTTGTGGGAGTTTGGTAAATATTCACAGCGTGGTTTAGAGGGAATCCCATCGTTTGAGGCGTAGAATCCAGGACTGTGGTGACTTGGTCAAGGGTTCATAGTGGGGTCGACCGCGTGTTCTCTCTTCGCATTCCAGTGCTGCGCGACATTTCTGAGCGAGGCAGAGATCTGGAGCAAGTGCTGTCTCAGTACACCAAGTTCGTCAAGCCGGCCTTCGAGGAGTTCTGCCTGCCGGTACGCATCCTCGTCGTGGAGAAATTGCTGCAGCAGTAGTTGACCTTTTCCCATTCCGCTAATGGACGTGTACGTCATCAGTTTGGTGCCGTGCGGGAGAGAGCGTGTGGCACAGTTTATCGCCAGTTTTCATAGAGTGCGGTTGTGTCGCTACAGTTCTCTGCGGCGAGTACAATGTCTTTTATAAACAGCGGTGCTATGCCTATAAAATCAACGCTAACCGCTTGGCGCGTTCCTAGATGTGGCGGTGAACGGGACCCAGCCTGCAACTTGCAGAAGTCTCGCAAAAGGGGTTAACAGGACCGTGCATCTGGACCTACCTGGAGGTCCCGTGTGGAATGCCACGTGCGGCCCCCTTATTCATTGGCGACAAAAACCAGGCCTGCCTCTTGTGGAACCCTCTCTCTTGTGTGAGGCACACCCCCCGCCAGCACCCCTTTGGGACATCCCGAGCGGACCTCCCACGGATGCAAGGGGTGCACGATAGCGGCAAAATGCGATGCCCACACAGGGACAATTCAATGGTTAAGATTAATTCTTACGTTCAGGGATACGTGCATTTATTCGTTTTTATTTTAGGTGATTGCTTGCGATTCGGGCAAAATGAAGCGCAGAAATTCAGCTCCATCCTGAGGGAGCGAATGGGATCATACAAGTGACATAACAGCGAGCAATGCAGCAAACCAGACAAACAAACCCGGAAGTTATTTATTTATTATTACGTCGTGACGCTGAATTGTGACTGCCGAGGAAATGGTTATGGTGGTGGATTGTCACGTGATGGGATGCGATCAGACGGCTTCCCCCCCCCCCCTCCATGGAATGCGATACTGTATTTGGCTTATCTGCTGGCAATGATTACAGTGTCAGAATGCCGGTGTTGGGTTTCATTGTCAACACGGTTTTAGTCGAAATATTAACGAATCTGGGTGCACCGAGATGATACACAATGCGAAACGTGCTCGCATACAATCGTGAGTATTTTAAATGCTTTCCGTGCCGTGCATACTTTTCATGTTTTTCATCCATATGTCAAAGCTGGTAATGTGCGTTTAACTAAAAAAATATTTACGAGCACAAAAGTGCGTTTGAAAGCGTCACCAAATGATCCACGCATAATTTTTCTTCATGATAAAGGTTTTTGGGTTGGATCGCGTTATTCTAAATGTGTCGCAACCCTCCACCACCCGACCCGGCCAATCAGTAAAAAATGTGTCACGTTAACAAAACGCCAATTAGTTACTTCTTCAGCCCACCGGTGTGTTTGAAGAGTGAATCCACAACATTTACAATTTGAGTACGACGTTTCGCTGGAAATTGCATCCATCATCTTCGGGCGATTTACCAGAATAGTGAAGCCATTCACCTGCTTAAGCTCTTAAATAGTGCAGGATGACGTCATCATTGTTGAACTCCAGGTTTCGATATCAGAGGCGGAGGTGGGGGGGGGGGGTATTATAATTATATAATAGATTAGTAATTAGTTAATTAGTATGTGATTCCTCTATAAGGAATTGTAATATGTATTGTGCATTACTTAATAATACGCTTACAGGCTGCGCTAAGTCTGTAGCTATCACTATTCTGGCAAATCGCCCAAAGATGCTGGATGTAATTTCCAGCGAAACGTCGTACTCAAATTCTAAATGTTGTGGATTCACTCTTCAAACACACCGGTGGGCTGAAGAAGTACAGTGAGGGAAAAAAATATTTGGTCCCCTGCTGATTTTGTACGTTTGCCCACTGACAAAAAAATGATCAGTCTATAATTTTAATGGTAGGTTTATTTGAACAGTGAGAGACAGAATAACAACAACAAAATCCAGAAAAACGCATGTCAAAAATGTTATAAATTGATTTGCATTTTAATGAGGGAAATAAGTATTTGACCCCTCTGCAAAACATGACTTAGTACTTGGTGGCAAAACCCTTGTTGGCAATCACAGAGGTCAGACGTTTCTTGTAGTTGGCCACCAGGTTTGCACACTTCTCAGAAGGATTTTGTCCCACTCCTCTTTGCAGATCTTCTCCAAGTCATTAAGGTTTCGAGGCTGACGTTTGGCAACTCGAACCTTCAGCTCCCTCCACAGATTTTCTATGGGATTAAGGTCTGGAGACTGGCTAGGCCACTCCAGGACCTTCATGTGCTTCTTCTTGAGCCACTCCTTTGTTGCCTTGGCCGTGTGTTTTGGGTCATGGTCATGCTGGAATACCCATCCACGACCCATTTTCAATGCCCTGGCTGAGGGAAGGAGGTTCTCACCCAAGATTTGACAGTACATGGCCTCGTCCATAATGTTTCCACCTCCATGTTTGACGGTGGGAATGGTGTTCTTGGGGTCATAGGCAGCATTCCTCCTCCTCCAAACACGGCGAGTTGAGTTGATGCCAAAGAGCTCCATTTTGGTCTCATCTGACCACACCACTTTCACCCAGTTGTCCTGTGAATCATTCAGATGTTAATTGGCAAACTTCAGACGGGATGTATATGTGCTTTCTTGAGCAGGGGGACCTTGCGGGCGCTGCAGGATTTCAGTCCTTCACGGCGTAGTGTGTTACCAATTGTTTTCTTGGTGACTATGGTCCCAGCTGCCTTGAGATCATTGACAAGATCCTCCCGTGTAGTTCTGGGCTGATTCCTCACCGTTCTCATGATCATTGCAACTCCACGAGGTGAGATCTTGCATGGAGCCCCAGGCCGAGGGAGATTGACAGTTCTTTTGTGTTTCTTCCATTTGCGAATAATCGCACCAACTGTTGTCAGCTTCTCACCAAGCTGCTTGGCAATGGTCTTGTAGCCAATTCCAGCCTTGTGTAGGTCTACAATCTTGTCCCTGACATCCTTGGAGAGCTTTTTGGTCTTGGCCATGGTGGAGAGTTTGGAATCTGATTGATTGATTGCTTCTGTGGACAGGTCTTTTATACAGGTAACAAGCTGAGATTAGGAGCACTCCCTTTAAGAGTGCTCCTAATCTCAGCTCGTTACCTGTATAAAAGGCACCTGGGAGCCAGAAATCTTTCTGATTGAGAGGGGGTCAAATACTTATTTCCCTCATTAAAATGCTAATTTTTTTTTACATTTTTGACATGCGTTTTTCTGGATTTTGTTGTTGTTATTCTGTCTCTCACTGTTCAAATAAACCTACCATTAAAATTATAGACTAATCATTTCTTTGTCAGTGGGCAAGCGTACAAAATCAGCAGGGAATCAAATACTTTTTTCCGTCACTGTAACTTATTGGCATTTTGTTAACGTGACACATTTTTTACTGATTGGCCGTGTCGGGTGGTGGAGGGTTGCGACACATTAATAGCAACGCGACCGAACCCAAAAACCTTCACTGTGAATAATACTGTTCGTGAAAGCCTCTGTGTATAATTTTTCTTGTTTGTTTTTTTTTTAAATACACAGGGTTGCCGATAATGTGCAACACTGAGTTTGTGTTTCTTCGATTAGACAAAGAAGTACGCAGATGTCATCATTCCTAGAGGAGCCGAGAACATGGGTAAGCCGCATCCTCTTTGCTTTACATCTGCAACGCGCGCACTGCTCACTCGTACCTCGATCACAGGACACAAGAAGTCGAGGTGATTTTACACGGCTCTGAGCCAGATTCGGAAATTCAACATTCCTATGGTGGGGACGAGTTTGTACACAGGATGACCGCTGCTGACTTCCCGCGAAGTGCTGATCGTTTTATTGACCCTGATGGGGATTATGGGGCCGAGTCGACACCCCAACCAGGATTTTAAACATTTCAATGTCCGATTGCAAGCCACTCTGCTGTCGGTCCGCTTGGTCGGTCCAGTGCCAATAGACAAGAGACTTGGCAGGCAGTAGTCGGCAGCATCGTGGCCTGGTAAACATACCACTCGGTTGCCTTGTGTTATTGCCAATAGATCTCCCATCATCACCTTCAGGGCCCAATCATCTTAATACACCGCAAAATTGTATAACAATCGGCGTACTCTGCCTTGGTGGATTTGTGGTTAATGCGCAATAAACAGACGAGGGTATGTTCCGCCGTTAAAGAATGCAGTGAAATTCTGTTCATATCTAGCAGCCTATTTTGCCTTTCGGCATTTACGGAGCAAAACTTTGAATCAATTTCAGTATGCCAGGCATGCCACCAGCAGCATTTAGGCCAACTAGGCTCCGGTAACTAAATGTATATTTATAATGTGTCCGTGAAATAGACATGTTTGTTCATCCATTTACTTGGGCAATAGATGTGTGAATTGCTTTACCCGCAGTCCACCAAGTTAGTGCAACTACCTCTTGCACACTATCATGTCTTCATTACAGTTGGTGTGTGTAATATATATGGGGAGCAGTAGTGTAGTGTTTGGCGCACTGCGTTACCATCCCAAGTTAGATTCCCACTCATGGCCAATGCTGGTCCTGGGCCTCCCCTAGGTTGACTCGACCTCAAATGAGTACCTGGAGCGGTGTAAAAACATCACCACTGGGAAGACAAAGGCGGCCGGGCTTTGTGCTGGCCACCCACCCCCACGAGTGCCGTGCCGGCTTTCGGAGGTGCTCGCTAACAGCACTTGCCCTTACAGTCTGTTAAGACGAAACGGGGGATTTTTGCCTTTTATATTGAAAATATTTCTGCCTTTAACGCAGCTTCTTGCCAGTTGGAGCGATGGTCAGAATTGCAAATGACACACCAAACACGATGGTGTTATAGAAGCTATGCAGGGAACGCGTTGTGTCCGATGTCCCGAGGCAGGACTGCGCCTTCGAATTTTGCGAGCGACGCCCAGAGACCGCACGAGAGATGGGTTCACTCGTGCCGGAGGCCTGGGGTGCGTCCTTGAGTGCTTAGCTCACCGTGTATAGCAGTTCGCACACTTTGAACTCTGTCTTCAATTAGCGCACAGTGTGTGCAGCCAATGTATTTTTACATTTCAGTCGTCGTTGCCGCACCTTGATCAGAAATTCATATATACATGTATGCGTCAATAACACTGCCTTAATAAGAAAAAAATCTGTGTAATAGGTGACATGGGCAATAGCCCCTTAATAACAACCGTTTACCTGTGCACACCCACACTCTGGTGGGCGTATCGCGGGCCGGTTGTTACAAACATTGAACACGTGCAGTATCGCGCGCTCAAGCGCTCGCACTCATTGACCTGAATGTATGTTGAACTTCTTTCACACCGTACGGAGCCAACCGTGCTAATCGGAGGGTGGGGTGGACGACAAACTTAACACAAGAAGCAGTTCTAAAGAAAAACATTTTTTCAATCTATTTTAAAAGTGCATAGCTCCAGTGGCTTCCTGATGTCGAAGGAAGCGTGTTCCAGACAGCTGCAGAAGTATATCTGAAAAAATACATCATAATAAATATTTTTAAAAAGCCTAAATTTGTGCGTTGTGCCAAAGCTACGTTCAGACCTGCCTGTGACACAACACGTGTCTTCGCTGGATGTCCATCTTGCTCTGGGTTGCTTCTTTAGGTCAGGGCGAAGGCATGTCACGTCACGCTCACGGGTGGAGGAGCATCCTTTACTACTCCTCCCGATCGTAGTGTGTCGGGGCACGAGCCAACGTTTTGTTTACGTTCGGTGCGACGATAATCTATCCGTGCAGGGCCGAATCGTGCGATTTGACGGTCGTATAGAACCACCAGTTAATTTGCCACTCTGTTTTAAATCGTTAGCTCGCGGGCAATGGCAGGAGATCTTGGATGATGCACGAGAAGGTGGGGGGGGGGGGGGCCTTGATGAAAGTACTACAGGTTCGATCTGAAGTCCCGCGTGCAGTTAGGAGCAGAAGGCTCCCTAACTGCACGCGGGGCTTAACGATGCAATCGTGTGGCTGGAATGGCCAGTGGCCAGCATGCATCCCTCGCTTCGACGTCAGTTCACACTTGGCACTTGCAGTTGTGCACCTGCTAGATATTTGGGGAAGTTGGTATTTACGAGCGATCTGTTGTAAACTGAAGACCAAAGAATATCAAGAGTTGCGACCTATAGTCAAGGTCTGGCTTAAAAATAAATGATTCGTTATGGACTCGCACCCTGGTCAAATACATTTCCCGATCTGCGTTCGTAATAAAGTGTTTAGCAAAACCTACTGAATGCAGACAGGCGTAACAACTGAAGAAGTCCTTTTCAAAGTTTTTGTTTTGCGCGGGAAGCAGACTCGTGAGCCATGGTTACGCTTTTAGAAGCGTGTAAACGTTTCCCCCCCTCCCCTCCTCCCCAACCTATAGCCAAAAGGGCAATGTGTACGTGTAGGTGTGCGTGCGTGCGTACACGTGTGCAGGCGCCATGCGTGTAAATGTCGCCATGCGCAGCTTTTTTTTTCTCTCGCCGATTTTTCTTGTCCACCTGGAAACGTCAGTGCCTTCACGCGGCCGAGCTCGAACCGGTGCGCTGCCGTGAAAACGTTGCGTGCGGTTATTTGTTGCGCTTGCAAACGCTTTTACAGTACCATGTCCCGTGTGTGCAGCGTGCCGAAACATGCGCACGATGCCAAAACACGTCGGTCCGAAAAAGAAAAAAAATTCCCCTCCCGCTCGCCCCCTTTCATAAAGGCCTTGACCGGTTTATAAAGGAAAGTACGGACAGTCGTATGTAGTAAATCACATGCGACATCTAAACGCACCACACTACTAGAAAATAATCTATGGCTCGAGTTTTCTGGGTGCCTGCTGAACTGGGGCTCCTCTCCACCCCGATTGAGTGACTGCTGGAGGCCGTCGCCACCGAAACTAGCTGGGTAGCTGGCTAAATGGGATTTTCTGTGCAACAAATACACGTTGCATTGAAACGACAGGAGAGGTTTGGAAAGTAATACTAGATTGCGATACTGAAGAGGTTGGAGTAACGTATACAGAAGACAAAATGGTTTATTTAAAGTTACTCTTAATGTTAATGTAAATTAAGGAAGGGGCGAGGATGCGATCTTGAGATCTCCTTTGACGGCCGCCTAAACCTTGAGACTTCGACCGTCGGACTCGCCCCTTCGTGTAAATCGACCCCCGCGTGGATTGACCGACTCGACGAATCCGGCAATTTTAACCGTAGGTCAAACTTAAGTGGCCGCTGCCTTCTGGCCCTGCGTCCCCAAGGCTTACAGAGTCCCTTCAACGGAGTGTTTTTGTAGCCTTTAAACGCTTTCATTTGCTGCAGTCCTGCAGGTGCGACACTCTTCATCCTGTCAGCTCTCGGTTAGAGGTGAAAGTTGCGCGAAAGTGAAACTGATGAAACGCGTTATCCTAAAATGTACAGTCTTGTGGGGCGTTTAGGAGCGACTTGCCCTTCTCATTAACCTCCAAAGCCTTGCTATCCCGTGTGCTCTCTCTCAAACAGTGGCCATCAACCTCATCGTGCAGCACATCCAGGACATCCTCATGGGAGGGCTGATGAAGCGTCTCAACGGCCACTCCAATGGCTACAGCTCCCCCGTGGCGCGCATCGCTGCCGAGCCCAGCAGCCGACCCCACTGACCTGGCCGCCATTGCCCCCCCCACCCACCCAACCTCCCTCCCTCCCTCATCATATGCCCCCCCCCCCCCCTTCGGCCGCGACCCCAAAGACCCTGGCTGGCCCAATTGGCCCGGCGATTTTACCGGGCCTTGTTGCCGGATGCAAGAGTTCAATGTGCTGCAGGGGGGTGGGGTCATAGGGGAAGGTTTTGGCCGCACGTGAAACGACGCGGCCAGTCCCGTAGCCCCCCCCCCCCTCACACCCCCCACCCCCCCCCTCACACCCCCCACCCCTCCCCCCGGCAAGTCCTAGGGATTTTACAAGAGTTGTCAGGGTAGCGTTTGTGTTGGTTTTTTTTTTTGCTGTGTGTATATACACGCACGTGTATGTATATATGCTGCGTATACACAAATTGGATGCAGTACCATACATGTACATACACGCACATGGCTACGTTTTACTGCGTGCGAATAGCGTAAAATGTAACCACGTGTGGACGTGTATATACACACGGTGTAATATAGTGTTGTTCATAATGCCGTCCTCCCCGAGTACTCTCTCTCTCTCTTACCGTGTTCAATGTGCTTTAACTTTGCCAATTTCACATTTTGCCAAGCAGTTAACGAATTGATGTACATAGAGGCTGGCCGGACGTGAGCCCGGGGTCGAATGGGTTCGGGTGGAGAGCGCCGGATGTCGGGCGTGCTCCGATGCGTGCGACGCTGGTGGAGCGTGCCGTTTGTGAGAAGGCCGCTAAAATTCAACACTACGACGGCTCCCAAAGATTGACGTTTTCGATCACGGCCGAGGTAACGAAGCTTCGGGGGTTGCTCGCACCCTTCCAGACCTGTGCACGTCCTCGCCTCACTCGAACTGCCAAAAATGCGTTTTGAAAATTGCTTTTAGCCGCTCCTGGTTTCTAGACTGTTTGGGTGTTCCCCTTAGCAATGCGTGACCGGCGCTTGCTGTCCGATTTTCTATTAAACCCTTTTTTTTTTAAAACTGGAGGTTTAGAAAAAAACACAAATCAGTATTAGGTCGCATCAATTGGCACGGAGAAAATGAAATTTTCTTGAGTCGATGAACGCACGCGAATTTGATTTTGCCGGTGCAGGGAGGGGGGGGGGGGTGGAGATGGGGTGGAGGGGGGCGGGGGAGTGTTTGGAATTGCAGATGCTCGCACGCGGCAAACGGAACCCGAGTCCCGCAGCGAATACGTGCGGTGTCCACCCGTCGCGCCCATCTGCTGTGGAGTGTGGCTGTCGCTCGCGGGCGCTGTACGAGCAGGCCCAACGTGGAGGGGATGGGAGGGGGTCGTCTGTGCACGTCGAGACCGCGCGAGGATACAAAGCAGCGCACCGACTCGGCAGTTAGTGGGCAAGTCCATCCACATCCCTCTACACGTGCTCGCCCACGATCTGAAATTCATTTTTTAAATCGCATTTTGCGTTCGAGGATTATTGCCGTGTGCCGCATTTCGCTCGGCGCGCACGCACGCCCCCGCGACTGCCTGTGCGCGCCGAGTGGCATGATGCACTGGGGGGGGGGGGTGGTGGGTGGGACGGTTTTCATATCGCGCGTCCTTTAAAATGCCCGCGGCAGTATTTGTCCATACCTTGTGGCTCGGGTGCTGTTCGCGCAGCTCCGTGAACGAGAGCTCTCTTCGCGGCCCCATTGCAAGAACGGCGCCCGCAAATTTCCTGTACGCTTAACGCAAAGAGTGCACGGCCCGCGGTCCAGTTCGCGTATCATCGTCGTAATAAATTAGCTTGTTTACCATTGCCAAATCTGCAACATCTCGGTTTAGGACCGGAGGATTATCGTTTTGTTTCGGGTTTTCTTACTGCGAGATGTACTTTTTCCTTCCAATGAATGTCGGTGCTCGCGTTGAAGGAAGAAATCTTCGTAGATTTAAGTGGTCGTCGGGGAGGTTCCTTTACGCATGTCAACCCTTAACCACCGGCTATCGTTTTAACTCGTCGAAAGTGCGTCCACTGTTGCTGAGGACGACGGAGTAAGGGAGTTTATTTAGATCTTGACTTAAAGCTTTCGTGACCATAGGAATTCATATTCTTTGGGAAAGCCCCAAAGAATATAGTTTATTTAGAGTTAATATGCAAAGGGTCAACAAGTAAAAAAATATACCACATTCGACATTTCTGACGACTTGGGACAAAATCTGCATACAAACCCTCGTGTTTGAACTCCCCTTTAAAGCCAGGGAAATTGAATCTTTCTACTTGAATTTTTCGCATTGCCTGTCCTGTCTGACAGTCTATAGCACGGGACACACGTAATTCCAAAAATGCATTTTTGCTAAACAGACTGACTACTACCTGTTTGGGAATGGCTTTGTGGACCTTGCTTAGACGAGCCCTGTTGAAACACTTTTTATTTTTCATGAACACATTTGACTGTGCTCACCATCAAGATGCACACGCCTGTTTATTACAAAGAGGGCGCTCTGCAGAGACTTGAAATGGGGGACCCCCTTAGGTCTTTTCTCACGGTGCATTTCCAATATTTGTTTTCTAGCGCACTTAAAAAGAAAAGAAAAACAATACATGGTAGCCTCAAGTGTCGATTTCTTTTAATGGCTTCCGAAGGGTAGTTGGTATACAAAAACGTAGGTAATGCCATACGAGACCGGAATGTGATGCAGGGGAATATTGATTTTGTTTTCCAGTTTTAAATTATTTATTTTTGACAACAAACACATTGCCTTCTGCTGGGATGGGTTGCCTTGACGGTGAAGTTTTGCAGGTCGGTATTCCAGAACTGAAGTCTAATTGGTAACGCGGCTTTGTGTAAAGGGCATGCCTCGTTTCACATTAAACCTTGTTACGGGACGGGCTTCATTTGTGTGTTTTTTTGTTGTCCGCGCGTCGCTTGGAATGCAACACCGCACGTTGACAAGAGCCACGTTTGGCTAGCTGCACCAGGGACCAGATGGCACCACTCATTGGTGGCTTTGCCTGCCGAATGAAAGCACAATGTTTCTCACACCCACAGTACTGTGGCTCGCAGGAACCCAAATAGGAAGCCTGCGGAGTGCCATCGCCTGGTTTAAAGGCACCGGGGAAACTAACGGTCGGTGGAGTTGACGGAATGCGCGATTTAATATATCCTAACTCTCCACAGTCGCACTGTTGCCCGTTGATGTTCTGTTGGGGTTGATGGTACAGCAGTTTGTTTTGAGCAATGTCAAAGCCAGGAGGTGGAATTGGCACCATTGTTTTGGCACATGAGTTGTACGAGATGGTGAGCCTTTAACCAATGTGTTCAAAGTGTAGTGTTGACGGCCAAAATAACTCGCGGAGGTCAGCTGCGAAATCAATCCGCCAGGTGGCACGGCGGTAGAGCGAGCAAATGACTCGCAATCGGAAGATTTAAAATCCTCATTGGGAGATTAATTTGTCTCATCACTTGGGGGTCTATAAGATAGGTACCTCTGAGAAAGTCGATAGTGATTGTGCTATAGAGACTCATCCACGTTAGGAATTTTACATTTTCAACACTGGCTCGGAGCTGTAAACAAAATAAGCACCGCTGCAACCCATTTGAGCAAGACTTTCTGGCTTTTTGTTGTACGAATTGACGTTTGGACTTTTATTTCTGCCGTGGTATTAGTGATGCAGTTGATTCACAAAAGTGCAAAATGGAGCAATGTCCATTGAATTTAATTTTTCGGAGACCGTTTGTGAGATCGACTACTTCGGACAACAATGTGCATCAATTTACATGACACGCAGCCGCTGGGTATCGTAGCGTCACAATTCCGCTTCGCCACAAAAGGTATTTGCAGAGATGCCATTGCACGCAGAGGTGATCTCGGTGCGCCGCCTTGGCTTCATCTTGACATTGTCCTGGCAAAAGCGTCGTGAACAATGAATCGACAATGACGAACCACGGCACTTAGCCGGGAGCTGTTTCGAACTCAATCGCCGCCGTTATGCTTAACAGTGGCCAAGATATTCATGCGAAGCGGTGTTGCTCTGTTGGCTTGGGGCCCGTGTGTTCTTCGCGTCCAACGAGACGTGCTTGTGCGCGCATTAATTCCGTGATGCTCCATAGCGCGAGCTGCTGTTGTCGCAGCTTGAGTTTCGCGCCGGTTTTTGTCGTCACCTTTTAGATAAAGGGCAACAAGTGGCCGAGGATGAATATCGTGAGTTTTTAAATTGGTTTGAGAAGCCAAGCTTCCCCAATTCAATTGATGTTTGTTTACGCAGGTTTACTCTTCACTGCAGATCTGTTTAGATTTAGGTATTATTGAACTATGCAGGGCGTCTTCATAAAAATGTTTAAATTATAAAGAAAAACCTCAGCCTTATCGGTCTGAGGTCATGTGTTTTTGTCTTCTCGTGTTGGCCTGCAAAGTTTCAATAAGTGAACTTCAAATAAATAAGTGAGCTATGGAGCATCACTGAACTCGATTTGCATGTTGCGTGGAGTCGAGTGGAATATTTTAGTTCTCTAATCGCTCCAATGGAAGGAAATAAATTCTGCATGGGATGATATCGGCAGCCCATTGCTGAATTCTTCCTACAACGGTTGAGACGCTAACATTGTGATAACGTGACTAGTTTTAGCGTTTTTTTTAGATGGGTATTTTTTGTCACAGTTTAAACATGAACCTTATACACAAAACTGGATATAAACAGGACCTGCAAAATAACCGTCCATAAATTAGGTCAAATGTAAAGCGTTCAAGGGAAAAGTTATGTTTTAACAAGATGATACTGATTGAATCTGTCAAGATGACGGCTACTTGCAGGTTGCGCAAGTTTCCTTGTCGGTACTTTGCGTGTCGACGTTGCGGATACTGCCACAAGGTGGAGCCAGGTAACACTTGAATTGAGCTCTCTTTGTACGCGGCCGTGGGGAACCAGGGCGAGTTGCGATTCAACCTTCCACGCCGCCGATGATCGACCATCAACCGAATCGGGACCGGGCATGGCCGATGCGCCCACCTTGATGCCACAAATGGCACATCAAAGATTCGGCGGCCTGCGAGTGCGTCCACGAATTCCAAACCATGGACCACATCGTAAACACGCCGCTGTTGTCTTCACTCCTTCACAGGAGGAATGGAGGAGAACCACTCTGCTTATGAACAGACAATTGAGCGGATAACAAATCTACAATTACATCTTTAATCTGCTGTTATTAATTCATACGAAAGAAGATCCGCTGTTATCTGCAGACCGTACAACAGCCTCTCTCAGGCCCGTCCAGTCCACGCCGTGTCATGGAACACGGCCGAAGCACTGTGGTTTTCTTCCACGGTGAGTCAGGGCTCACGTCCACCGATTGCCCTTGTGGTCTCTTAAACAAGGGGACCCATCGTATGCACAACAGTTGTCAAAAAAAAACACTCGAATCTCAAATTCGCCAGTACCAAATTAATTTGTTTTTTAAAAACGTCATTTTTAAACTGTACATTGTGAAGGAGCTGCGAGACTGCCAATTGGTAAGGTCAGCAAAAGTATTAGGTGTCCATAAAGGTGCCCTCTATTATTAAACAAGAATTGACATCAGTTTGATCGATACACTAACACACGGGTTTTTTTACCACTAGATGTCAGCAAACCACCAAGAGCATCCTTATATTACTATATAAAGCAAGATTGTGTAAGCGATATTTTAAAGTCGTGTCTTCGTTACAATAATATTTCTTAAGACTTGGGGAAAAAAACCCTACAGTATTGCAGAGCATTTAATGCCGGCAATCGTAGATTTTAAAATGTTTGGCACGTTTATTTGGAATCACGCACGTTAGTTCGCAAGCCATCCACGTCTGGGGAGGCTGTTCAACGTGTTGGACCACAGCCATAGCGCCTAGTCCACACAAGTCGATTCAAAGACCTTAACTGGAATTTGGTATGGATTGCACCACAGGTCACGTAACGCATCTCAAAACGTACACTCGCCATGTGCAGGCGCTTTGACAAGTTGATTCCAAACAGAGGCATTCAAAACAATCACAGCTGAGGTGTTGCCAAACACCCGGGGACTCCCAAATCTCGGTGTGATGTGTTGCCAATGCCGTGAAAGATTTGCGAAGGTTTAGAGCGATTAAACTTATAAAGTTGTCATACTACCAAGTGCCTGTACAGTTTTATCGACCGAAATTAAAGTGCGAATTAACATTCTTTAATAATGGATGATACCTCTATAGACACCCTGCATAATGATGCCTATCCATCTGTTAGGTAACATGTTTTCACTACGAAACTCGCCACAGCTTACCAATACAAAAAGCCCAGATCTACAATAGTTTTTGGACACGATTGGCAACAAGAAACTTTCAAGAAAAAATATTAATCTTAAAAGTAATGTTATTCTGCCCCACAAGCATAGTGAATATGCATGCATTAGGCTCCTTGAAATTACTATCTTCCCAGCTTGTTACTTCTATCTTCACAAGTACAATCTAAAGTGTAACACCATTTAGTGTCAACAGGAGGCAATGCGATGAGTAACAGAACTGTGAGTTTATCGTAAACATTTGTCAAGCATCTTCAGTGCTTAAAACATGAAACAATTAGAACATGAAAGTTGAATAAAGTTAAATCTTGATTTAAAGCTTTCGTGACTGCAGTAATTCATATTCTTAGCTCTTTCGGTAAAGTCACGTTGAAGGGAAACAATATTTTATTGTTTCCCTTCAACGTGACTTTATTGTTTCCCTTCAACGTGACTTTACCGAAAGAGCTAAGAATTTGAATAAAGTTGTACAGTTGCGTAAAACAAAATGTACTTCATAGTTAAACAGCGTAACATTATTGAAAAATTGATCATAAAAAATTTGATATTCTTGGTTCTTTCGGTAAAGTCACGTAGAAGGGAAATAATAAAATAATCAAAATATTAAACAATATTACTATTTTATTATTTCCCTTCTACGTGACTTTACCGAAAGAACCAAGAATATGAATCCCTGCAGTCACGAAAGCTTTAAATCAACAATTTGATGTTCAGTATTCTCTAGGAAGTGTTTTTTTGGGGAATAAGTTGATGTGGTAGTGGATTAAAACGTGACAGGATATCAGCAGAATTCAAAAGCAATAGTGGGCCGGTCAGTGCAATTTACTGAGCATCCAACGATTCACTTCCCCCTCCTGGAGACTAAACCCTCAAAATGTGGGACCACGAATTGATTCCTTAATTTGACCTGTTAGTAATGTCTCATTCGCACCGTATTTCTTGATCGTTTATGTTCCGTTTCTTCGAACCTAAAAGTACATTAGCATCATGCTTCAAAATCATAGTCGATTCCTCGATGCACCATTTTTGACGACTGCATCGCGAGCATGAGAAACTGATTTCAATCGTTGAATCCTTACGAGTCTATTATTTACCCTTGCCTCCTCAGTACCCGCGAGACCACAGTGAAACCCTCTGCCTCTGTTCTGCTCTTAAAATCCCGAAGCATGGCTCATCCCTTTGTGCGGTGGCACGCGGAGGTTTTACGCCTCTTTAATGCAGGTCCAATTTTGTTTGCCGTCACGTACTCTCTCTCCCAAAGCGCTGCGCTGAGCTTCCGTCGAGCCTCCTTGGATGGGGGTCGCTCAGATCTGGCGACCGCTCCGACCCGCCATCGCCGCATCCACGTCGGCGCCAAATCGGGTCGCTGCGCGCGTCACACCGGGTCGCGCGGATCCGCCCCCCCCCCCCGCCCCCCCCCGCCCCCCACCACGGCGTTGTCCGTGCGAGGGCGACGCTCTAGGCTTGTGCCTCAGCGCAGCTGGCGTCGTCGGCGCCGCCTCCACTGCTTGTTGTCCACGTCCTCGACGCAGTCGGGGGGCTCCGGCGTGACGAGGCCGTCCGTCAGCCGGTAGTAAACCACCGTGGAATCGCTCTCCGCGATGGCCAGCGTGACGCTCGCCGGCTCCGTGCCCACGCACGTGTGCTTCATGATCTCGTGAATCCTGCAGTGGCAGCAGTGTCCATGAATTGGTGTCGTATGCCTCGCCTCGAGCGTGGATGAAAAGGCCAAATGTCCGCCCGGAGAGGCTCCCGTGCGCAAACTCTCACGGTGGCGTGACCACCAGCGGTGGCTTGAGCAAGCAATTTCAGGGCTGCACCGTTACCTTTGACTTACCTCTAGGCATTTAAAAACACTTAATTGTTTCGTCTATCACGCTCAGGGTACAAGCATGTAAACATGCAAGTAAGAATATATTGATTTGAAGCTTTCGTGACCGCAGGAATCCATACTCTTTGGTGACATTGTCATCCTTTCGGCCGACAAGGGCAATGCCACGGTCATCATGGATAGAACCACATACAACAACAAAATCCAGGACCTTCTTAATTATGGCAGTTATACCACAATCAACAAAGATCCTACCAACCGCCTGGCTACAAAAAACAACAATATCATCACTAATTCGACTTCTCTAATCGAAACGAACAAGCAGCTCTCTCTAAAACCTTCGGCTGCTAGACCACCCAGATTTTATGGTATTCCCAAAATCCATAAAGAAGGTACTCCACTCTGTTCTATCGTTTCCACCATCAACTCACCTACCTACAAACTGGCCCGATTTCTGTCTGAGTACCTGCTTCCATTCACGGGCAAGACCACCTCAGCAGTACTTAATTCAGCTCACTTGGTTTCTCTAATCAAGGACATTTCACTGTCTACAGATGATTTGTTGTCTCTCTGTTCACCAAGGTACCTGTACTTGACACCATAGCAATAATTGAAGACTTGGTCCAACAGGGACTGAATCCTGATATACCAACTTTGGTGAGGCACTGCCTTACCAACACTTACTTCATCTGGAATGGTACATTCTACAAAATAAAATGAAGGTACCCCTATGGGTTCTCCCTTATCACCAGTGGTAGCGAATGTTTTCATGGAGAAATTTGAAACAGATGCCATCCTGACATCCACCATACGTCCTTCCCTGTGGAAGAGATACGTAGATTACACTTTTGTCATCTGGCCACATGGCCAGTCAGCACTGAACCATTTTTTCAACCACATTAATTCCATACACCCATCCATCAAATTCACCATGGAAGTGGAAAATTATGGCAAGCTATCATTCCTGGATGCTTCGATCGAGAAGAGGCCTGATGGCTCGTTGGGACATTCCGTCTACAGGAAAACCACCCACACGGATTCCTAAGGGGACAGGACAAGCCTGACTCCCACCACCATCCGGCCCAGAAGAACTCCCTCATCAAAACACTACACCATGGGGCCCGCTGCATCTCCGACCAGCGCCACCTAGCCAGTGAAGTGGAGCACGTACACCAAGCCTTCAAGATGAATGGATACTCAGACCGCACAATCCGCAAAGCTGTAGCCCCAACCAAGGTACTCTACAAACCTTCGGGCTACTATAAAAGATTTGTCCATGAAGCCATCCAGATATATACACAGAGACAATTTCAACCGAGAAGATGGGTATAAGCAGAGCAATCATTGCAAGGACGTGATTAACCAAGCAAAGTCGTAACTGGCTGTGGTGCTTCCATTCTTCCCTGCCGACTGTCTGAGTTGCATTGCCCTGTCAGGTACCTCTGCATTAACGAGCTGGGGTCTCACGAACATGGCCACCTCTGCTCCCTTAGCCTCGATGTACCGATGGTTCTGGCTGTGTGATGGGCTTTGTGTCTCACTGGCGCGACCACCGTTGCGGTGTTTCCCTTGCGTGAACGCGCTTGCCTCTCACAGCGCAGGTGGCAGTGCCGCAGCTTGTGTTACACATAGACGTGACATTAACTTACTAATCCCCCTAATCTCCCTGCCTAATCTCTCCCATCAACATAGTGCTAATCCCACATTAACACTGCTGTTGTGCGCATATGCGGGGATGATACTCTTATGCGGTGACGGAAGCTCATTTCATGCTAATCTCTCTCCATAATCTCCCCCATTAACACAACTGACGTGCTTGCGTCCGGGGATGGAATTCCTTTCCAGCTCAGACCCCGCTTGCTTGCCCATCGCCACGTATATAACCTCTTGTTGTAACAGCTCTCCCGCTGGTTCAGCAGTTCCACTGCTGGATTATTTTTTCCGCCTGAGGACGACCGCTTGTGTTGCGATCGAAACGTCGTGATATATTATTTTTAATTGTATTTTTATACCTACGTGACTTTACCGAAAGAACCAAAGAGTATGAGTAAGAATAGATTATTTACGTAGATTGTATGTAATTTATATGGTAATGCTACATTCAGGCTAGTGGAAGGAACAAGACTGACAACAGCAGAAGGAACGAGCAACGATGCCAACGAGGCAGTAAAAATTGAGACTAAAAAAGAACTTAATCTTGAAATGCGACCCCAAATCACGACTATTAACAGAATTGCATGAATAGTTGAATTATTGAATCGCGCTGCACATGTATGGTTGTTACAATCACTTCCACTTTAGCTCCAATATACGTCTAATCATGGTTCCGAGACATGCACGGAATGGCCCAACCTTGTGAGAAATGTGTCTATTTGCACCATACTGTTTCCTTGATCCAGCCCAAATTACATTAAATATGAGCATGAGGTGCCGTTTATTTTTGTGCCTTAAAATGCAACCTTGTGACGCATTATCCAGTGGTCTCGTGCAGAAGGGAATGCCAGTGCTTTACAACGTGTGCACAGAATACAGGAGCAAGTAGTGTAGAGCACACGGGCACAAAGATTGACCACATTACAAACCCAGCAACATAGGCTCAATTCCTGCCTATGGATAAAATCAGTGGCAAGCAGTATCTGAACACCTTGAGCCTCGCCTAAGTCAACTCGGCCTCAAATGGGTATCTGGCGAGATCTGCAAATGGAAATGGGGAGACAAAAACAGCTGAATGTTGTCCTGGCCACACGGCTCCCTTTTGTGTGGTGAGTTGGTGTTAATCACAGTCATGGTCAAGAGGCCACACTGGCGAATGTTACCGATGCCACCACACCTCACCTTCACTCTCTTCCTTCCGCGGAATTATGTCGATGTTGTGTATTTGACACCGATCCTTCAAGGGCTCTTACAGTATCCCACCATCTGACTTTTCGTCTTCCCTTTGGTCACCCTCCTTTAGGTAATCAACGTATTTGCCCGACTTGGTAAACTGCTCTCCATAACCGTAAACACGAGTCCCACCTAGCTTGGCTACGTCTCCTAAGGCTTTCTGACAAACTTCCAAGTTTCTTAGCCTATCGTTCCTTGATATTCCTAGCATCCTCCACATGGACCTGTATTCAACGACCCGGACGTGTCTTTCTGAGTTGCTTTGTTAAAATCCAACTTTCTGATTCATACAGTAAGATGGACATTATTCCTGCCTCTATTTCACCAAAGTGGTTCGTGTAGTTTATTTGAAATGCCTGCCCTGCTCACACATTAAGTCTTTCAATTTCCTTCTCACATCCCTCTGTATTGTACACTTTGCTGACAATAACGAATAATAATTTATAGCGCTTTGTCAATCCACTGCTGTATTAAGGCCTCTCCTTCAGGATCTGGTTCAGATAGCACTCACCACTGATGTTAGTTGTGACCAGGAATCAAACTCATAGCACGGTGCGCAAACAACGGCGCCACCGTTCCACCCTTCTCGCTGAATAAATACCCTAAATATTTAAGTAGTGGGTGCTCGCTAACAGCATTTGCCACAACAGTCACTTCTGGCTATATGGAGGATCTTTGTCTTTTTGTGTGTTAGGCGTCTGTGACTTGCCGGCAGTGGCTGACAGAGGCCTGGGAGGACACGGGCAGCACCACGGTGAGCGGCTTTCCCTCCGCGGGGCGGCCCGTCACGTACAGCAGGCCGAGCTCGCGCGACGCTGCCGTGTTCACCTCCGTCCAGCAGCGCACTGCAAACACGTGCCGCCCGTAGCTGTAAACCTCACCACGTGTCTCATCCTGGCTACTTGTAGCTGTAAACCTCACCACGTGTCTCATCCTGGCCACCCGTAGCTGTCAACCTCACCACGCGTCTCAAGGGGTGTAAACCATCACGCAAACTCCGGTCATCATCGCAGAAGCGGCTTGGGGGATCACGTGCTTTCAGATTCGCTTCTGTGGCCGTCTGGAACGGTCTTCCTTTCTGATATTAGGCATCCACTGGAGCTATGCACTATAAAATCATCTAGATTGAAACTAATTTCTTTAGAACTGATTTTTGCGTTTAGTTTGTTGTCCGTTCCCCGCACCTCCGATTAGCACGGTTGGCTACGTACAGTGCGAAAGAAGTTCAACATGCATACATCCTGGCCTCATGAAGTAGGTGTCCTCACGTGCTGAAAAGTGTGATGAATTGACTACAAACATAATAATGATGCCCTTTACTGAGGAAGTTCTCACCCAGTATGAATACTTCTTTCTAAGAAGTTCCCACATTGAGATGTTTAATATATACCTACGATAAGTGTTTGGCATAAGGAAGGATATAGGAGTATGGGTACCCCCCCCCCCCCATTTCTATGAGGGGATAACAATCAAATATCTTCCCCTGGTACCACATCTGATAACCCCGAATCGTCTCCTATCCGAGTACTAACCAGCCTCGATTTTTGCTTAGCTTCTGAGATCTGATGAGATAGGGCACACGCGAGGCGATTAGGTCATCAACAAGCAGTGCTCATCTTTACCAGGCAATCTCTCTGATGAGCATCACTTTGTGGAAAGTCATAATTTCCAAGGCAGGGGCCAGCTTATCCATGTAAGAATCACTGCTGACTTCCTACCAAGTAATGCTCATATGGCGGCGCTCAAATTACCAGCCAAAAGGGGGTGTCAACCCAGATAAACATGGGAACTCGACAAGGCAACATAATTTGTCTACATGCGAACGAATCCAAAGATGATGCAAAGGGCAACAACAGCTTTTGTCCCTAGAATGTTCATCAAGAAACATTCTACAAACATATCTAACAGGGCCACATATTTTGTATTGTGCAGTCTCCGACGACTCTTCAATCTATCTGGCACTCTCCATCTCCCCGCTATGAAGGAAGGCCATTACCCGAAATGTTGCCCATTCTATAATGTTCCTATTTCAGGCTTTTGTTTGTTGTGCTTTTGCACCACAGCTAATGCACTAATCACACGTATTCCGTGCTATCTGGTTGATCGAGTCACCTTCCAGTAGGTCAAGGTAAACGACAAGCGTCGTGAATGCCTCGCTGTCCTCGGCCACCTTCAAGTCCAGGAGCTCCTTGTACTGCAGACACAGAGAGGCAATGAAGTTGACATGAATTTATCACCCGCAGTGGTAGTGTGCTCAATTTATAGCTGTGAACCCATACGGTTTATCCGTATTCTTGTACAGGGAAATAAAGTTTTCAGGTTCATACAGCCGTTTCAATACAGGGATTTTTGTTTGTCTATGTGTTTGTGTTTCTCCCTTGTGATGGGACTTTGTAGGATAAACGTTGAGATTTTTAAGGGTCTGAATTGGTCTGTTATAAGGTAGCCACTGATAAGGGGGTGACAGGTATGCAAACCGGCTTTCCATCGATCAAAACCCATCAAAGTCCACCAATGAATGCATTCCATTCATTAATAAAAACCTTGTTCATTAATTTATAATCTCTTTCACTACTCGTGACTCAACCTTTCAATCACTGTCAATCAGGTCATTCACTTATTGTGAAACACTAGTCTGCTCACTTTGGATTAGCGAACCTATTCATCCATTAACTTATAATCAATAAGGATATTCTGTGAAAAAATAACCCACTAATTCTGTAAGTTCTCATCTATCAATGCGACTATTACAGTGGCATTTCAACCCATTCATTTACTTACACTCAACCCAATCACTTTTTACGACTCACATTCATCTATCATGTAATCAACCAATTTATTCAGTCAATTCCAACCACTCGCCCCATTCATTGTCACTCAATTGTTCACGACAGCCACAATAGTCACTTCTAATCATTCAACCCATTCATTAAATTGCAATCATTCCATCCATTCATTCACTTATAATTATTCAATCATGCAGCTACTTCTAACCATTCAACCCATTCATTAAATTGCAATCACTCGATACATTCATTCACTTCTAATCATTCAACCATGCAGTCACTTATAATCATTCAACACATTAATTAAATTACAATCACTCGATCTATTCATTCACTTATAATCATTCAACACATTAATAAAATTACACTCACTCGATCCATCCATTCATTCACTTCTAATCATTCAACCATCGAGTCACTTCAGGTAATCACTCAACCCATCGTAACTCCAGAAATTAAATTTAACACGTAGGCTTTCGCGACCAACATCATCCATAAAAACGTCGTACTCCGATAGTAAATGTTGTGGCTTTACTCTCCCAACACACAACCGGTGTACTAAGTAACGAATTGGCCACGTTCCGTTTACGTGACAACCCCCTTACTAATTGGCTGTGTCGGGTATGGCGGGTTTAACGACACATTTATATATCTGCGCGATCTAACCAACAACAACAACAACATCCCCCTGTATTACAATTCACTTAGAATACACTCTGACCCCGTTCTCATCCGCGGCACAGGTGCGGCGCGCGAGCGCACCTTGGGATGGTTCAGGACCCACAAAGTGCCCCCCCGGGCAGCTGGAGGCGTCGTCACGTTCACCGACATCACCACTCGGTTAGCAGCGGTCTTCGAGTTGTGAATGTTTAACACGACGACCGTGGGTCTCCTCCTCCTCTTCCTCCAACCCAGTCGGCGTGGTTGGGTGGTGGTTGTTGTTGTTGTTTGTGGCCTGGTGGTTTGGGGGGGGCCCGCTCGCTACCCACTCGCTCCGTCAGGCTGCAGCCACGCCCCCCCCCCCCCCCTGGGGACTCCACACACGCGCGATGTGCTAGAAGTTACGTTTTCCCAAGCGCTATAACAGTTCTACGATATTCAACGTTCTATTTAAAAATATATATTTAGTACACTCCGACTACTTGCTACCATCACAATTCTGATCACCCGCGGGTCACGTGGACGACAACAGCGTTCACGCGCGTGCTCTCGCGACGGCGTGACGTCACATGCCGCGAACGGAGAATGACGTCATCGCCCACGCGGCGGTGGCGCGAAGACGTCACGCGCGAGCGCATCTGTTACCTATGACGTCACAGCGAAAAGAGGGGCGGCGTGACGTAATCAGTTTTTTTTTCAGTTTCAGTTTATTTGGTATAGCCCTGTGAGCCATTCGGCTCTTGAATTGGGTGCAACCACAACAAACAAAAACACGAACAAGAAAAACATCTTAAAGTGACTATGTGACTGTGCAAACAGAAAATCCATGAAAAAACCCAGCTAAATATTCCTGAAAAAGCACCGTACACCACCAACGCTGTGTGCAAAAATCCCAGTGGGATGCAAGTCAAACAACAACAACCACAAGACAACTTAGATTAAGGCCGTCAGTCTAACTCCGTACTACAACAAAACAAACATTATTTTAATGTTTCCCTTCTACGTGACTTTACCGAAAGAACCAAGAATATGTCCAAACCAAAAAACGTTTTCGAAATCACCAAAAAAATAAAGCCATAATTGCAATGTAACAGTGATCATAGGGACTGTGACCGAATTTTTTTTTTACAATAAACTACATAAATAACATGTAACACTAAACCCTAGAGCCATAGCTGGCTGAATTTATAAGGTAAAGCCCTGTGAGCCATGCGGCTATTGACTCGGGTGCAACCGCAACAAACAAAAACATGAACAAGAAAACATCTTAAAGTGACTACGCGCAACAGAAAAATCCAGGAAAAAAAACCCAGCAAAATATTCTCTCTCCGGTCGCGTTACAAAGAACATATTCGAAATAAACTTCGCAATTCTAATCCTGTAATTCGAGTGTGAGGGGTTCTAAAATTTCTTTGTATTATATTTAATGCAGCGGCCTCTAGTGGCGGGAGTGGGTCACGAAAGTCTCGTGAAGCCGTCCAAGACTCGCCGGTCGCCACGTTGTGACGGTAACGTCACCATAATAAAGTATTAAAGCTTTTTATTTGTTTTAATATAATGTTATTGTATTTCTACATACGTGACGTCACCATAGTTTCAAAGTTTTCATTTATTTTGGTATAGCCCTGTGAGCCATTCGGCTCTTGAATCGGGTGCAACCACAACAAACAAAAAACAAAAACACGAACAAGAAAACATCTTAAAGTGACTATGTGACTGTGCAAACAGAAAATACAGGAGAAAAACCCAGCAAAATATTCCTGAAATAGCACCGTACACCAACGCTGTGTGCAAAAATCCCAGTAGGATGCAAGTCAAACAACAACAAAAACCACAAGACGACTAAGATTAAGGCCATCAGTCTAACTCCGTGCTACAACATGGCCAAACCAAAAAACGTTTTCGAAATCACCAAAATACAGCCATAAATGCAATGTAGCAGTGATCACAGGGACTGTGACCGAATTTTTTACAATAAACTACATAAATAACATGTAACACCAAACCCTAGAGCCACATTCATAGCCACAGCTGGCTGCATGAGTCACTCCACAACAGGAGCATCAGTCGGAGTATCACATTTTTCAATGCACCTTTAAGATCAGCACACTAAATCAAAATCCAGTTAATACTTTGCAGCGGTCATCCGGAGCGAAACATTTTATTTTCTTTTAGGCCACTGAATAGCAGTGGCAGCTAGGGCTGTACAACTCCTATAGAGCAGTCTTGAGTGAAGATCTCATAGGTAGTGATTCAAGTTGCAGTTTATTGGCAATAGCATTCCAGACTCTGGGGGCATCAATAGCAAAGGCCCTTCCTCCAGTTTTTTGTACGCCTGTGCCAGGCCAGGTGCACTTAAAGGCCACGTGGAGTGTTGAAGGCTCCGCTGCTGGCAGGAGGCCTCGGGACAGACCCAGGTGCCCAGGGGTTAGTTGACCGAGACGACCGGTAGATGCATCTGCCGGCTGCTGCATCATCGTGTGCACGTGACGTCATCCTGCACATCCTTACCACGGTGTAGTAATGCGATGACGTCACCCCGGGGTTGCTGCGTGTGTTTTCATCTCGCTGTGAAGTCATCGCTGAACGCGCCGCACGCGGTCCCTTTGCAAACGAGCGGGCGCGACGTCATCGCGCACCGCCCGATCGCGATTTTTTTTTTGCCAACGTCACCGCGTTCATTGTTTTACGACTGATGACGTCATTACGCTCCGTGCGTTTGGCGCGCCGTGACATCACCGCGCACGCGAAATTCGCCCCCACCCCGCCCACTTGACGAAGCTCCCGTAAGCGCGTGTCCCGATCGTCCCGGCCTCAACATCGCTACCCCTCCCCTCCACCTCCTCCACCTCCTCCACCTCGTCGTCGTCGTCTTCCCAGGCCTCGAGGACTGTGGAGGTGGTGGGCGAAATGGAGCCATTGCCCAGGAGAGATGCTGAATGTTTAAGCCGGCAGGGAAATCCGCAACCACCGCACTCCGAGCTGTGGGGCCGTCCATAAATGACGTCACGCATAGACAACACGTTCTACTTAATTAAATATACTTTTTAAGAAATGTTTTCTCCTACAACATCAAGAGTGCAGCGCCACATTAAATACGTACTACAATGACAATAGTTTAAAGCGATTTGAAGCATTTTTGGGGGGGGCAGAGCTTTGTGACGTCATATTTGAGGGGGAGGTCTGACTTTTTGTGACGCCGTGTGACGAGGGGGGGGGGTCAAAAATCGTTCAAAATCGCGTGACGTCATTTATGGACGGCCCCAAAGACAAATGTGGAAGGAGGCGTTGTTGACTTTAGGTAATTGTTTTTTTTAAATATATACAAAGAGCATTTAGCCGTTTTTGGTTGCTTAACTAAAGTATTGTTTTTTTCTTCCTATTTCAAATTGAAACCATATTAGGTTTAGGCTTTACTGAATAAAAACAGTTACACCTTTGATTTAAAGCTTTCGTGACTGCAGTAATTAATATTCTTAGCTCTTTCGGTAAAGTCACTTTGAAGGGAAACAAGTTGCCAATATACTTTTTATTGTTTTATATATATTTTATTATTTTATTGTTTCCCTTCAACGTGACTTTACCGAAAGAGCTAAGGTAATAACAGTTACACCGTTAACTCTTAACATTTAAAACAAGCACTTGGGTCTGAATCGATTAATTCAAACTGACGACAACCTCAACAAATGCTGCTTGATAATACACCAGGCGTGGTTGGTGGACTAAACACCGGACCGAGTGTTGGTGCGTTTTATAAACGGAAAGGCAGACGGAGGAGGCGAGTGAATTTGTGTCGACAGTCAATTGAGACTCCATCCAAGACGCGCAAAGCGCACGCCTCTCGCAGCAAATCGAAACATCCTCCACTGGAACCGATTCCTCCTAAACCGAAAACACCTAGTTGTGTCGCCGGAATCGATTCAGCGTCAAAACCCTACCGGGGGGGGTGGGGTGGAGGGGGGTGTGGCTTGTTTGGAATCGCGCCGTCGATCGATTTACCGCGCACCGTCTAATCGATTCCTCAGTGGCATTCGTGGCAACCCCCGTCGGCCGGGAGTCCCTGCGCTCCCGTGAGCTCTTCGCTGCTGCTCCTGCTGCTACTGCTGCTGCTCCTGCTGCTGCTGTTGTTTATTATTAACACGACATGTCGCTGGCGACGTTGTGCCGCCGCTTGCTCCCCCTGCTTCTGCTGCTGTTGCTGCTGCGTGGCCGTGCGGCCGCCTACTTCTCGGAGGAGAGGAGCGTGCCCGAATCTGGTCCCCGACCGCCCACGGTGCTGCTGGCCCTGCTGGCGAGGAACGCCGCTCGCAGCCTCCCCTACGCCCTGGGCTGCGTGGAGAGGTTGGACTACCCCAAGGACCGCATGGCACTCTGGTGAGAGAACGCACCACCACCACCACGTATACCGTGTGATATACACACACACCATGTATATACACACACACACCATGTACACACACCATGTATACATACACACACCATGTATACATACACACACCATGTACACACACCATGTATACACACACCATGTATACACACACAGCATGTATATACACACACCATGTACACACAGCATGTATACACACACCATGTACACACACCATGTACACACACCATGTATACACACACACCATGTATACACACACACCATGTATACACACACCATGTATACACACACCATGTATACACACACACCATGTATACACACACCATGTATACACACACCATGTATACACACACCATGTATACACACACCATGTATACACACACACACCATGTATACACACACACCATGTATACACACACCATGTATACACACACACACCATGTATACACACACACACCATGTATACATACACACACCATGTACACACACACACCATGTATACACACACCATGTATACACACACACACCATGTATACACACACACACCATGTATACACACACCATGTATACACACACGCCCCATGCATATACCATGTATCAATGCTCTTCGATAATTTTCAGAGGGGGGCCACTTTCGCCGATAAGACATCATCGGTGTGAGGGCCGCCACGCGTTTGAAATCATTGGGGGGTTGACAGCAGCACTATGATGATGGGGGGGGGGGGCGTTTCCACGTGTCGCGTGTTGTTGGATGCGGCACGTATATACACACCACGCATACCATATACACACCACGCATACCATATACACACCACGCATACCATACATACACACCACGCATACCATATATACACACCACGCATCCCATATATACACACCACGCATACCATATATACACACCACGCATACCATATATACACACCACGCATATCATATACACACACCACGCATACCATATACACACCACGCATACCATATACACACACCACGCATACCATATATACACACCACGCCTACCATATATACACACCACGCATACCATATATACACACCACGCATACCATATATACACACCACGCATATCATATACACACCACGCATCCCATATATACACACCACGCATACCATATATACACACCACGCATCCCATATATACACACCACGCATCCCATATATACACACCACGCATATCATATATACACACCACGCATACCATATACACACACCACGCATACCATATATACACACCACGCATACCATATATACACACCACGCATACCATATATACACACCACGCATATCATATACACACCACGCATCCCATATACACACCATGCATACCATATATACACACCACGCATACCATATATACACACACCATGTATACACACACCACATATATACACACACACCATGTATACACACACCATGTATACACACACACACCACATATATACACACATCACATATATACACACACACCATGTATACACACACACACCATGTATACACATACACCACATATATACACACCACATATATACACACACACCATGTATACACACACACCATGTATACACACACCACATATATACACACCACATATATACACACCACATATATACACACACACACCATGTATACACACACCACATATATACACACCACATATATACACACACACCATGTATACACACCACATATATACACACCACATATACACACACCATGTATATACACACACACACCACATATATACACACCACATATACACACCACATATATACACACACACACCATGTATACACACACACACACCATGAATACACACACACACCACATATATACACAGGGTAGACTTCCCCAAGGACCACATGGCGCTCTGGTGAGAGAGCATATCCAAATTGCACATTACACATTCACACCACATCCATTAACATACACATAGCATACACACACACACACACGTAGCATACACACAACATACACACCCCATACACCATGGCCTCTGTGGTCAGAGCCAGCTGAATGGATTATACGTCTGTGTCACTTTTCTTATTAAATACCAATGCATCTCACATGTCCCCCGGTCTCTGTGTTCATATTCTGTGGCTTCCTTTCTCCAAGAGGCAGATGGAGAGGCCCTCTGCTTCTTGTCACTTGTCACCCTCACGGTCTCTGTCTCCCTGATTGTCCTCCAGATGAAAATCCCTAACCTTGTTTGTGTCCCCAAGGGTGGCTACGGACCACAACATCGACAACACGACTGCGGTGCTCATGGAGTGGCTGGTGGGCGTGCAGAAGATGTACCACTACGTGGAGTGGAGGCCCTTGGCAGAACCCCTGTGAGTGCTTATGTGTGTCTGAGTACTGCTTGGCACGTGCACCTCATGCACTCTCAATTCACCCACTGCACCATCAATCCCAAGCACACCACATCCCCAGCCACACCACGACTAAGTGTATACACTATTTGTTTTAGCAGGTAAGGCGCACTAAGCGATGCAGCTCTTTTTTTAGAAGCGACCTGGCCACAAATGAAAGCTCAACGAAGTGGCTTATCACGTGGAAATGTATAGCAGCCAAATGCTCTTAAACGCATGTTTATGAATATAGAGGCAAAAACTGGAGGACCCGGAGAAAAATCCACTTGACCATGGGGTGAACATCCAAACTCCAAAGACACAGGCATCAGGGTCGGGATCGAACCGAACCCACGACCTCCTCCATACCAGGCGAGGTAGTTTGGATTCACAGAGCGTCTTTCATGCAATCACATCTCAAGATGCCGCACATAAGAGTGGAGCATGCTTGGGAAAGGAAGCGTGCGATTTACAGTATTACTGTCACAGAACGAGAAGTTGAGGCAGAGGCAGTGTAAAAGGTCAGATGAGACTATGTCAAATCAGGGTATCAGAGTGGACAGTGAGGTTGTGTTCATTTTATATATTTTTTTTAATGCATAGAAGTGGTGCTCAGCATAAATATTAGAGATGATTTTGCCCAAAGAGGGAGAAGATGCCTTCAGAAAAGCAGGAGGGCAAGGATGAAGCCTCTAGAGACACCAAAGAACGGGCTTCTGAGAGGAAGGCAGTCCAAGTATGGAAACAGAAGGTGCCGTGTGGGAGGTAACAGTGGAACCAGAAGAGAAGTGTCTGCTAGAGATGCCTACATGGTGATGGAGGGATTGATTGAAGGAAGGTCGAGTCGTCTGTTGTGTTTGTAAAGCAGCAGAGAATGGTCTCGGAGAAGTACGGGTGAGAGGGCTCTTCGGCCAGAGGAGAGATGGAGGTCATCACACCTAGGAGTGTAGTAGAACAGCTTCACCGTTTAATCTGTAACACGCACACCACACCGTACATACCACTCCATCCTGACCATTACACCCTTACCACTTCCTAACGCCACCTATACCATTCGTACTACTTAACCCATACGCATATCTTTGTCCATGCACGGATGGGGTGTCAGTCAGCTACATTGTGGAACTAGATTCTAAAAGATACCCCCATCACACTAACCTTGAAGCTCAGTCTTTTTTTACATCAATCATTCGATTCGACTTGTGTCCACGTGTAGGTTATTGAAAATAATTAAATAAAGGCGTGCTTTTTTATTTAAAGCTTTCGTGACTGCAGTAATTCATATTCTTGGTTCTTTCGGTAAAGTCACGTTGAAGGGAAAACAATAAAATAATAAAATATATAAAACAATTGTTTTATTGTTTTATATATAAAACAATTGTTTTATTGTTTTATATATTTTATTATTTTATTGTTTTCCCTTCAACGTGACTTTACCGAAAGAACCAAGAATATAAAAAGTCGTTTTTATGCGCTTTGGAAGAAGGCCTCCCCACTCCTTGCAGTTATGGGTGTTGTTTGACTATACATCACCACACTAGTCAGTGTGGGTGTGTGCAGTAGGTTGCCTCAGAAGGACTCTTTCAGATATTGCCAATGATTTTAGTTTAGTTTAGACAAAACAAATTATCCACAGTGAGTATCGCACTTTTGTCGTCAAGTTTCATAGTCCAGCGTCCTCATCACTGCCCTATTGCTCCGGCAGCCTAGGTTCGTGGCATTTAAAAATAAAAAAAACATCCCACTTTAATTGTGTGCTTTTTAATGTTTGTTTTTATTACATTCTTGGACCTTTAAGTGTTATTTTTTTTAGCAATTGCAAGAAAGAAAGTGCCCATTGATCTTTGCTTTTATTACTGGAAAAATGCACACATTTTCATGATTTAAATCGCTTACCTAAGTTTTATGGGGATTTTTTTCTACAGATTGCAGGAACACCTGTTGTGTTTTACAGCAATTTTTTTTAAAATAGTTTTTGGCTAAACATTTTAGGAGTCTTGGAAGTATTCTTTGTACACATATGCTTATTCTGTGCAACATATTAAATGCTTTATGTACAGCTTCATATCGGTAATGTGCATGTGTAGCTGTACGTGCATATAGCAGATTGCAATGAGAAATATTTAAAAGCAGAAAGAAGATGCAGGTTACTTTGCAGAGGACATGCAGGAATCTACTTATACGAAGATTTACAAATGCATAATGGCATAACGTCATGAATTAAGCCTGTCCAGTTGCTAAAACTAACTAAACTATTTTTTATTTTATCAAGTAAGGACCACTGAGCTATATAGCTCTTATTCAGAAGTGACCTGGCCACAAATGGTAGCGCAACGAAGTGGCTTATCACGTGGAAATGTATAGCAGCCAAATACTGTACACGCATGTTTATGAATGTAGAGGCAAAAACTGGAAGACCCGGAGAAAAATCCACTTGACCATGGGGTAAACATCCAAACTCCAAATATACAGGTTTCAGGGATGGGATTGAACCTATGACCATCCTGTATACCAGACGAGATAGTTAACATCTCACCACTACAGCTTTAACCAACCATTGGACCCTACTTTATACAGTGTATAATTTTCCTGCAGCGACCGCATTGAGAAAGCAAATTAAGTTACAACAAATACCAGGAGTGACATTCCTCACTACTCTGACAGCCTGCAGGCAGGTGTGTGGCTGAGTTTATAGCTCTTGCCAAACAAACACGACTTGCAAGAGTCACTTGTGCACTCTCTGAAATGTAACGGGCACTCGTTGCATTTCATAATGTCCATCGATCGCTCAGCCAGTGTGGATTCATAATAGGGTTTTTTTTAGGTTATATCGTGTAAATTTAAATGTGTCGTTAAATCCACCACCACCCAACACAGCCAATTAGTAAGGTTTGTCACGCAAACAGAAAGTGCCAATTCGTTACTTAGTACAGCACACTGGTGTGTTGGAGAGTAAACCCACAACATTTCCAAATTGGAGTACGACGTTTTAAGCCACAGACTCAACAGTAACTAATTGTCATGTTTTGATTACGTGACAAACTTTACTAAATGGCTTTGTCGGTTGGTGGCGGGTTGAATGACGCATTTATATTTACACAATCTAACCCAAAAACCTCTGTTATGGATAATATTGCTCGCGAAAGCCCAAGTGTGGATTGACAACGTCCATGGCGCATTTTCCAAAGTATTCAAAATTTTTTTTTATTTAAAGCTTTCATGACTGCGGAGATTCATATTCTTGGTTCTTTCGGTAAAGTCACGTAGAAGGGAAACAATAAACAAATAAAAATATAAAACAATAAAATTCTCACGACGTTTCGACTGCAACACAAGCAATCATCATCAGGTGTGAAAACCACAACAAGAAAATTTGAAAAAAGTGGCGTTTTTTAACGTTAGCACCACAGAGAGCGATTTGACAGTTTGTTCAGATGGAAAAAAAACGACACTTTTTTCAAATTTTCTTGTTGTGGTTTTCACACCTGATGATGATTGCTTGTGTTGCAGTCGAAACGTCGTGAGAATTTTATTATTTTATATTTTTATTATTTTATTGTTTCCCTTCTACGTGACTTTACCGAAAGAACCAAGAATATTCAATTTATGCTCGTACTTTCCACGATGAGATCACGGCACTTGAAGCTGTGTGTCGTCATCCGGGCAACTTAGCCTCTTGTTTTAGAAAGCCCTGTAATACATCTTACAATCTGCAAAGTATTAGGTATTGTGTAACTTGGTTACTATTCCTGCAGATTTTTTTTGTATTGGCTGTGTTTTTTTGTTGTTACCATAGGTATGTATTACCGCAAGGCAAATGTATGCAATTTCCCACGTTGCACTCTGCCTTATGCGCAGCTGCAAAGCTTGCGTACATTTTCCCAAAAGGACAATTGGCCATGCGTAAAAAAATGACGGTGCCTGTGGTTGTGTTTGCGCAAAGCAGTAAGGCAGAAAATGTGGTGGGGATTAGTATGTGGCTGGGGTGGAGCCACTTCGCCAGGTATGCGCGCTGTCACCAGTAATCCAAAGCAGTGGAAGGAGTTGACTTCACATGGCTCTTCTGCTACTCAACATAATGTTTTAATTTTGACAATAACTTTGTGGTGATGTAACTCACAATCAATGATAAGCTTTGTCACGTCATTAAAACAAACCCCCGTGACAATTGATAACAAGCTTGCATATTTTTCTAAATCATTGTATATTTATTCTCATTATCTCCATATTATTTTAAGTGCACATTATTAGTCAAAATAGGCTAACTTCATACTCTCGCCAGTTTGTTAGTAGCTCGACTTCTTAACCTCTCCGCTTAACATGCATACAAGTTTACAAACGTTAAAGCATTTAATTTTCAAAGTTTCAATTTAAGATGTGTGCAGTGTCTTGAGATGCAGTTGCATTTAGACACTATACACCATACAGATATTTTGTTGTCCTTCCCCGCTCCCCTGATTAGCACGTTTGGCTACGAACGGTGTGAAGGAAGTGCATACATTTATACACATTCAATTTTATTTATATTTATTATCGTACAAGATACAGCAAATACCTTTAATGCTTCAATGCGTGGACGAAATCAATGCAATGCTGGCAATTCATTGCGTAAACTACACCCAGTGTGCACAAGCTGGTAAACACATTCATGCACCACGACATTCTTCTGTCCTGGATGGAACCCGAATTCATACCTGCTCTGCCAAATAACAGACTGCTCATTCAATTGGATGAGCTGCGTGCAAGTTGCAACCGTGGCTCCGCATAGCTGGTGTGCCACGACACAGCCGTTATTATTAAAGCGTCTCCAGGACCTGCTGCGCCCACCACGGGTCCCGGGTATAGCGGGCATGCTGGCACGTCGATTCGTTTGACGGTTGGTTTGCTTGGCCCTGGGCCTGCGACTGGCTCTGCCGCCACGGTGGTATTTTTCCAGACGTTACCGCTAAAAATGCGGTAAGACAGGCTCCGTTCCACTAAAGTCTTTGCGATTTCAGGAGGGCGTAGTAGTAGGGATCGTTTAAGTCCGTTTACATTTTTGTTTGGTGAATGCACGCAATGCCCCGTAGCATGTTGCATGTAGCGTTCCGTATGGCGGTACTTTTTTTTTTTAACTCGTATTACGTTGCTGCATTTTAAATTCTTGCCTAAAATAATGGGAACACTACACCCGAACTTGCCAAGTCCAAACTCGCCTTGGAATGAGATATACAGTATCTGCTGCAATCAAAGCAAGCGGTTGCACCTTGTATACAAGTCTACCTTAAAATAAAGCTTTAGCTGTGAAAAAAAAATTCCTTCCAAGTGCTTAATGCATCGCAGTGTATTGATGACTGCGGTTGCGGTGCATGCACCAACACAAGCAGCCAAATTTGAATGTGGAAACCCATTCATGCTGTGCTCAAGTTGTTTTTTGCCTAAGTTCTTGGCTCAGGCTTAACGTTATCTGTTTGTTTTGAACTCTATATACCCGCTGGCTGATAGCGCTGACTGATAAGTCAGCAGAGTGGGTGATATGGGACGTAAGTTAGTGTGCTTCTGCTTTACGTAATTTTATATATATAGAGTATGCATTACTCAAGAAATTACTTTTACACACACTTCTCAGAGTGATTTTAATGTTAGTAGATTTAACAGTGCAGATTATGGCGATAGATAGGCAATGACATGGGAGCCCAAAAGATTTACACTGAATTCACATTTACAAAGTGTTTTCCTGCTTATATAAACATGGGACAATTCTCATATCCTGCTTGCAACCCTGAGGCAGTGGTGTCAATTTCACATTCCCATGGCATGGGCCAATCAATAGAGAGGACAAACTCTCTCGACTTTGTACTCATTGTTATGACCCTGGAGTTGATCAGTAGCTGAGCTTATCTCGGAACGGGATTTGAAGAGACAGTCTTCTGCTTTGCAAGCTACCACAACCTAACAGCTGCACCATCTATAGCATCATAGTGCAGTAGATTAATACAGCAAGTTATGCAAGTTCCATTATATACATGTACAGCCCTATTGCCAATCTACTGCTGGAAAAGGGCATCCCTCTGAAGTGCAGGCTTTGGAGGTTATTTCACCATACTCCAGCACACAGGTAAGTGCAGATTGGTAAAGGCAGGGAGCATAGATGTACAGTACAACAATAGATTCTACTGCCCGCAACGTAGCACCGCAGCAGCCTACAAAAGGCTTGTATTACGCATGGTGGTTGCCCATCGAAGAACTATCCAGGCTCACTCTGCTGCTTATCCTCTGAGATCTGACCATATCAGGTGCATATTCCAGGTGATTTGCTCATGTAAATGAACTTACCGTATTAGGAATGTATATTACTAAAAGTCTGTGTTTTAAACATCCCCCACCACCACTGCCAGCCCGACAGGCTCACGCTAATTATTTTGCTTTCATTTATATTCAGCCACTACCAAACAAATTAAAACCCTGTATCAAGCAAGGTCTAAAATGAATAAACAAATTCAGAAATGGCACCAAAACAAAAAGCACAAACAACAAACAAGTTTTCACAACAAAGAAATTAGTACATTAATTGTAGCATTGGTTTTGTGTGTGAGTCTTTCGGGGGGGGGTGGGTGGGTGGCTGCTGCGTGTGTGTGTTTCTCTCCTGGCAGGTCGTACCTCGACGAGGTGGGCCCCAAGCACTGGTCAGCGTCGCGCTACGAGTACGTCATGAAGCTCAGGCAGGGCGCCCTCAACACGGCGCGCGAGAGATGGGCCGACTACATCTTCGTACGTTACCGGCACCACCGCCGCATTCGTCGGAATCATCACCGTCGTCATTGTGATCATCATTACAACCCACCGCCTTCGTCCGTCATCACTCTCATGACATAATCACAATTCATTATGGTCACTCCAACCAATCACCTTCATGTTCATTATTATAATCGTCATTGTCGTTATCTCAACCCATCAAATTCTGACGCACATGATCATCGGTGTCCCACCATCTTCGTCATGATCATCAATATGCCAACCGTTAGTCATCCTGATTCATCAGCATTGTCATCAAGGCCCCGTATGCCATTGCTTTTGCTGTTGCTGTCCAACAACTCTCAAACATCTTAAATGCAGTATTAATATCTTCTGTTTTTAATCAGTTATTATAGAATATATTTTTCAGAATATGTATTTATACTGGAGGAATCTGATGAGCTATGAAGCTCGTTTTCACAGATGTCCAGTAGGGGCCAGCCATACAATCCATCTCTTGTTCCAAGTGTTTCTATGTGTTTTGTTTTATTTTTTTAGTATCATCAACTGGCTGATGCGTATTCTAGAATGTTTAAAATATAGGACCTTCACTAAGGTTAAATAAATACCTATAATTATCCATCAGTTTGAGATAATTACAAACAAGCATTCACACACTTGGTAGTATGAAGATTTTATCGCATTAGTTTCATTCCTCTAAACCTCCATATGTCTACCGGCCATGCATCAGCAATCCATCTCGTATTGAGATTTGAGAGTCTCAGGTGTTCGCCAACATGTCGGGTGTGATTATTTGTCCTCAATTTTGTGGCATACATTTGATTTTTTTAAACACAGACAGCCGCACACAAAGCACTGCATCAGCAACAGGTCTGGTTTAGTTTGGTGGGTCACGAGATCGGGCTGCCTCATCCACACCAGTTGTTGCGTAAAGTCTTTAGGTGCTCCCTCAAGTCCCATACGAGCACTGTGAAAGGGGCTTGTCTTGTCAGTAGATAGGACAGTTGAGTAGTCCATTCTGTGGAAGTTGTGGTAATAAAAGGGCCGTTGTATACTTGTCATTCATAGCACATGCCCACGCATTTACTTTTGGACTGGCGCTGTTATGGGAATTTTCAGTTCCCTTACAATGCAGCAGTGAGTGTTGAACTCACCAACTGACATGAAAGTTTGTTTCATCTCGCAAGGATCAAAAGGCTTCAGATAAACATCGCGTTTCCCCTTTGAGTTGTAACATATAACAATACATATTTCACGGTGCAATAAGTAATCACTTCTCTGAATGCCACGACTCTTCGCGTGTATTGAGTCTACACATTTTGAGATGATTGTGCGCGATTTTGTAAACTGTGCCAGTTTCGGTGAAGCTCTTTGAATCGACTTTTGTGGACCGGGTGTTACTGGCTGGTTTGACAAATTCAGCAGTCTCTTCTCTATGCTTGGGGCCTGCCAATACGCGACTCCACATCAATATGCCCCGTGTTACCAAAATACGTGCTGTCACCGCCTTCTCTGGCGTGATTGCTTTGTGTAGTTTTGTCAATTTTAGTTTTCGTGTGTCCTGTACGACGTGTATTGTTTGCACTGTGTGCCTTGTTCTGTCTAGTTTCATTCTGACATTCGACCTAAAGGAAAACGTGAATCGTTAAATTTGTCTGTATTGATGGCCATTGTCGCATAGACAATTTGATGCTTGTGTTTTGAACGCAATCAATTTTAATTCATTAATTGACAGCCATACTAATGTTTAATAATTCTTTGAGTACTGAACTGTTTTCCTACCGATCAGTGAATTGTTGAGCTGATTGTATATGTGGTTGTGCGCAATCGTTGATCATATTTTTTATGCGAGCTTTAGATTGCCTATTCAGCTGTTTCCCTTTCGGAAGCAGTTGCTGAATGATAATCCCATTTACAGCACAACTCTTTTACGAAACAACTTTGTGGTGGTAATTTGTAAATTATCGTCCTTGTGTGTCAACTGTCAGGTTGTGTAACTGAGGAATTTCCAAGTGCTTTTATCGATATTCTGACATCGTTCAACGTTTCATTTTGACAGTGTCTATTTAACCATGCCTTGGCCCCTGGTGTAGATTAGACAAATCCTGTATGAGCTTGCAATCTTTTGAGATAAAGCACTATCATAGGAACACATTTGTGAATCAGCTTGGCCAACTGCACGGCAAGACCCATTCATAACATAAAGTTACTGCTTTCATGAACTTATTACAGATGAATTAAAATAACATTCTTTTGCTGTCATCAACAAAAAAGAAGACCTTGACGTTTTGGCCAACTTGCCCTTTCTAGGAAATGTTTAAGTTTCCAATGAAAGAGTAGTGAATATACCGATAAAGATGATCGGGGTTGGTGCGATGTTGATATGGCACCAATCGTGAAGCGCGTTTGGTTAGCCTGGTGGTTAACATTCTCCCCTGCTAGGCCAGTTTTCACCGAGATGATGAATCTATTCCCATAGCTGCCTGGCAAATTCTGCAGGTACTTGCCAAAGCACACACGTGTAGAGAGCATGCATTCAAAAGGGGTAGTCTCCTCAATGCTAGTCTTGTCCAAGTCTGAAAACCGAAACTGGGGGCAAAGTGACCATTTGGATAAACTCCCAACAACGGACTCCAGAACCCTATTTGGAAAAGCTAGTGAAGAAGCCTGCGATATTGAAGACTGCTGCCACTGATGTTTCTATAATAGACAAAGAAAACCAAACGCATTCGTCAATAAACACGGTGCTATGAAGAGGCGCCATTGCCCGAAAAGTCGGCAATTATATATATTTATTTTCTCTTAGGGCAGTGTTATTGACGAATGAGTTGGGTTTTTTTGCTGTTTGCGCTTGTTCGCCACTGCCAACGCAGTATCGCCAAATATTTAGTTTAATTACCTACAAAAGGGCTTTCTATGAAGCCAAGGGGCATAACCGCTTCACTTAACAAAGAGACGAGTTTGCCGTGTGCCTGTCATCTGATCGGCGAGCATATGGCAACGTTACCCCCACAGCTGGCCTTCACCAAATTATGTTCACGGCCCCGGTCAGTGGTGCCCAACCTTTTTGCACCCTGTGGACCACACAGCCGACCCACCAGCATATTTCACAGACTGCTATGCCACCAGTGACACATTTAAACACAAAAGACAAATCGCTCTACCCTAAAAGTGTTACAAGCGATGTGAGCAATTAACTTGCTATTAATTGACTCCCCTAAATATTTGTGCGACGGGCAGTGGAAAGAATTTTGCTATTTTTTTTTAACGTGCAGCATTCCTAGGATCAGTTCCCACGGCCCTTGTGACACAACGAGTGATCAGAATCAGAATCGCTCTTTAGACTGACGGAATCCGATGAACCATGGAGCTCTATTTCACAGATGTCCAGTAAGGGCTGGGTCATAAAATTACAACAACAATACAAGAACTGATAGGAGTGCAAAGTATGGAAAGGTAAGCAGGTCACTAAATAAATATATATAGGTACAACTTGCAAAGTATATACATTCCTGCCGAATTTCAACAATAGATGCAAGCTTGGGAAAGGCAGAAAAACAACAACAACAACAACAGTCCCATACCACAGCAAGACAACACGCAGTCCCTCAATAAAATTGCAGATGAAAATTGAACTATCGATACAAATCACATATTCAAACGTGGATGTATTAAGAACTAATCTTCTGATGTGGATCACAGGTTTGGAGCCACAGGCCTAGATGATTTCATAACTGTTTTTGCACAGCGATTGGTAATTAGGCTTAAGAGAATCTCACTATGAACGGAAACTCTGGAATGTTTAGTCATAAGTGGAAGCCCATAAACCAACATTGTGATACAACCATCTAACAATCATCATTAGATGTCAGCCCTCCACTAAAATATTTGTGTTGGACCATAGAGCCATCTTATATATGTGCAGATAAACTCAGACATTACTAACAATTACAACTATTTTTTTTTATTTTACCAGGTAAGGCCCACTGTGCTTGTATGTCTCTTTTTCAGAAGCGACCTCGCCACATGTGATAGCTCCACGAAGTGGCTCATCACGTTGATATGTATAGCAGCCAAATACTCTAATACAATACTTGAGAAGGTAGCAGTGCATTGCAGTGGTCATGAGCCTAGTGACCTGAGGTTGAGTTCTGGTCACGGCTAATATCAGCGGTGAGTGATATCTGAACCAGTCTTGTCCCGTGTGGTAAGGTACGGTCATACAACCCCCAATCACGAACATGGTATAAGAAGGCAATGAATATTCTTTGTACAAAAATATAAAAAATTACTGTTCATCGGTTTCTGAAGGTCTCCATTGCAACCGACACAACCTGTGTGAGCTATCACATGGTTACATAGAGGAGGGCTGAATGAATCGTTGGTCGGGCAGTGTTTCCCGATCTACAGATGGCCATGGGCGTTCTTTTTCACAGTTCATGGACGTTGACAATTTCCTGCTGAACGAGAAGACGCTGTCATTCCTCGTGGGCCAGAACCGCACCATCGTGGCGCCCATGCTGGACTCGCGCACTGCCTACTCCAACTACTGGAGCGCCATGACCGATCAGGTACCGCAGCGCCCTTGGCACACGGCCCGCGGGCGCCCCGCACGCACGCCGCACGCTAGCCCTGCACCTCCGACGAGCACGGTTGGCCACGTACGGTGCGAACGGAAGTTCTACGTACATACACCGCGCCCATCACGTGCACCACGAATACACGGGGGGCACACCCAAGACACAGGCCGCCCATTGCACGAGTGCACCTGGCACACCAAACGCACACCTTCGCCTCTCGCACAAATGCACACCACATGTGCAACACTTCTATCGCGCGCACACCACACACACACACACACAGCGATTGGATCCCACACACACACACACACACCGCGTATCGCACATGTGCACCAGACACACCGCAGGCCGCACGCCACTCCACCCCACGTGCGCACCCCAGGTACATCGTGCCTATCACGCGGGCGCACCTCATACCCGCCACACGCACGCCACAGACACTGTCGCACGCATTGCATGCGCGCATTGCACCCCGCACACGTGCCACGTGCACACCACACCCACACAGACACACTGCGCCTACCGTACGTGCTAATCGCGCGTGCACACACACGCACACACACACATCCCGCATGTGCACCAAGTGCACACCACGCACAACGCATTCAGCATTGCGTGTGCATACCACACCCCCGCGTTGCACACTCTGGGCACACCGCACACACCGTACGTAGCGCACGTGACCCCCTTGCAGCGATACCTGCATTTCCTCAAATCAAAGTCTGGTCAACACAGTTACCAGCCCAACGAGCATGGGGTGGCACCCATTTCCTGTTTACAGTTTTGATCCTGTGGCGAGGGTGAGTTTATATATATAGACAATCACTATTTCCTCTAGTACTGTAGTGGTCAAGTATTGCATGCATATACATTAATGCCTGCCGGAAAAAATAGTGCTATGTCCCTATGATTGCGTAACATGTGGACATGCACGGGGCCCCAAAAAGTGTCTCGTGTCTCTGTGTCCGTCCCTCTCCATGTCTCTCTTTTGCTTTGTCTTACTCTGTATGTCATCTTTGGCTGTCCCCAGGGCCCCAGTTCTCCCCTTCTGCACAGGGCCCCCAATTAGTGTTCAAATGCCCCTGGCTGTGTACATGCTATGTAATAGCCAGCACGTGTAGCATTTGGCTGGATAGGCAAAGGGATATATCAGCAGACAGCCGAGATGTTTAAATCCTTGCCTCTCAGGTTTTGAGCTCAAGCTCCCACCTGGGACCATGCAACATTGCTGCACAGAAACACCCGTTGTATAAATTGAGTTGTTGGGTATATCGCAGCGGTTTGCATACGCTTGTGAAGTAGGTACTAAGACATGCAGTAAACTCGTCCTTGAATAGTGTGCTGCAGCGTTGTCCCATTTACTTCACGGAAAGGTCTTGGGTGGAAACACCGAGAGGAATTTTCTCGGCGTGCATCTCGGCTTCATTCCTTGACTTGACAACATTCGATTCCCCAGTCTGTCAGCTGTTTATCCAGATGGGCGCGCTTTGACCCCTTTTAAGTATTGAAAACAGCAGCGAAATGATCCGCTTCTGCGGTCGTCTGGAACACTCTTCCTTTCCGATATTACGAAGCCACTGGAGCTGTGCACTTTTAATTCTAAGTTGAAAGCTCATTACTTTAGAACTGCTTTTTTGTGTTTAGTTTGTAGTCCTTGCCCCGCACCTCCGATTAGCGTGGTTGGCTACGTACGGTGCAAAAGAAGTTCAACATGCGTACACGCATAGTACGAGTGTGCAGCATGATAGAAAGCAGTGGGTGATCTTGGTGGAACTGTGTTATTTTTCTGTAAGGTCGCCTTGAAGGGCCAAAGCCTGAGGCTTCTAATCCTCGCCTGCAAGAGCTCTCTGGGTCGCTCTACACGGCACGTGTCAGTTGATCGTCAGGAGAAAATTGCATTCCCTGCAAGCTGTTCTTTAACTGTGACCACATGTGAAAGTGATTGAAGCCAGATCTGGTGAGGATAGGTTTTCCGGATTTTTTGTTTTATTTTTCCCCAGTCTTTCACTTTGACCACACAAACAACATGATTTCATCGCCCTGTGAAACATGACAGTTCATAATGTTATTCTGAAACCTGCTAATCCTTCTTAAAAGTAATATCTTTTCGTGGAAAACACAACTACAAAAATGAAAACGTCTTATGTAGTAGATACATACTTGAACTATGTCTGTGCTAGAATTTCCAGGATGATTTTAAGGCTCTATTAATAAAAAAAAAGCTTAAAGTTACAGTCAGGCATCAAATCATAGTGATCCAGTCACGTCACGCAATACAGAATATGGGATTTACTTCACTAGAAGGCCGTGAAGGCACGCCTGATCCCGGTTTCACAGTCATGTTTCTCATTAACGGATTTCAAAGTCTCACCGACAGCCCAAGACATATAGCCTAGATATGTGGCGACAAGACAACGACCGTTTGTGTCTTTGCATTGTGCCTGGAATGCCCCCGACCTCATTAGATCTCGGAAGCTAAGCCAAGATTTGAGCCTGGGTAGTGGTTGGATGGGTGACCAATGTGTATGAAACAGGACGTTGTAGGCTGGGGGGTTATGTTCATGCAGTTTGAGGGCAGTGGTGCAGCAACATCCATCCCACCACGTCTTTTGCTGCCCAACTTCACCAAACTCCACTGACCAGGGTGGTGAGGTGTGGTCAAATAACCTCCACAACCTGCACGGTGAAGGGAGGCCCAAATCAGCAGTGGATTGGCATGTGTATATTCTTTGAACTCAGCATTGGCCATCTCACAATTTACCTCCCTAGCTATTTGATAAATTGTCACAATTCAGGGTTGTGATTTTATTTACTGTTAATCACTTTTATGTCTTGTTTGTCAAATTTTCGTTGTACTGTTAACCTAAACTAAAAATGCATACATTGTAAATAATAAATAATAGATTTTCTCACACACACAATTGAATGCCCCTGTCTTGAGAATAAGAATCGATTTTAAAAGAGGAAATGATACGTTCATAAATGCCCACTAAACATCCATCCTCTGTGGTATGGCCATGCCTCCTGTGTTAAGTCACGTAATTTATTTCCACCCCTCATATACCGAAGCTAAACGTCAGCTTTGTTCGTTCTAAGAGGGGGATATGGGCATCAATTAAGGTCAGTAGTTTAAAGTATTCACGTGGAATATTAATTGAGGAAGGAGGTCGGGCAACAGTGGTGGGAAGGAAATGGGTCAACACAGCATGATGTCACAAATGGGCCGAGGTTTCAGGAGTGTTACGTTGATTTGAAAATCATACGAGTAAAACTGAACGGTAACGCGTTAAGCACGGTCCTTTTATATCGTGCAGAGAGACGTGGGCACCAAGGGAGGAATAGTAACGAGTGCTAGAAAAGGACGGGGGATACGAATGTTGGAGGTATTTCTAAAGGAAAGTAGGCAGAGCAAAGAAGTTAAGAGCCATCGCAGGGGTTAGCAATAGCATCGAGACGGTAAGGGAGACGAGCTGTAGATGGTTTTGGGCACGTGTTGAGAAAAAACAAAGAATATGCAACTTAGAAGGGCTTTCGAGATTAGAGGCCCGCAGACTCGCATAGAGACCCGTAGTCTAGAAGGGCTGTGGAGATGCCACCAGTGCACGGCAGAGGGTGTAGATGGAAGCCAAGGGTGAGATGGGAGCATGCGGTGGAGTGATTTATGAGGACAGCGGATGGGACTGGACATCAGGAACAGAATGGAAGCCGCGTAGAGAAGGAAATTCCAAGCAGCTGACCGCATACAATAATTTGACTTTTGGCTTATAAGAAGAAGATATGAAACTGTTTTGAATGTTTCTTGAAGGAAACAGATAATATGCAAATGATCGCACAAATAATCATGCGTGACTGCTGCCACGTGCAGGACTTTGCGCAATAATGGGATTTTTGGACGAGGTGGGAGACATCGTTGTGCCTCTTTTGTGTCACACCGGGGTCTCCCCGTGCAGGGCTACTACAAGAGGGCGCCCGAGTACCTGCCTGTGCGGGAGCGGGAGCGTCTCGGCTGCTTCCGCGTGCCCATGGTGCACTCGACGTTCCTGATCGACTTGCGTCGCGAGGCGTCGCGCCTCATCAACTTCTATCCCCCGCCGCCCAACTACGCCTGGCCCTTCGACGACATCATCGTCTTCGCCGCCTCCTGCAAGCACTTCGGTGCCGCAATGCCCTCCTCTGTCACGGATGAATGTTGCTTAATTTGTTGTTGTTGTTGTTTACGTTTTCACATTTTTGTTTCATTTGTAATCCTGACGCTCCCGCGTTTGTAACGGCGGTCACACTGGACCTGTAATCCAGAGGGTGGCCGGTGTATTTTCCTGGCGCGACGGTTGAAACAATGGTGCAAGTTTATGAAATCTTCCCCACTGCACTATATCCGACGAGCTGTATAAATAGGTACTGTAACGAGTCGATTGGCAGCTTGCGCATAGTGGGGTAAAGTGTGGGTGTCACCCACCTCTTCCAAGATGTCTGACCAGTGCTGGAAGAGGAGGAAAAATGCCCCTCTTTCGGCAGCCTCTCCTGAAATAATTCACTCTCCTCACCATGCAGCAACGACCTGTCACGCGGTTTGATACGAGAATCTATTTTATTTTGCATTGCGGTGAATGTAGCACCTCTGGTGGCCGATTCAGGAGTCACGTGAACTAATTTTTTACATCGAAAATAATATTCTCAACACACGATTGGATGCAAGTGTAAGACTCATTTTTAATCGATGAGTCGATGTAATATTACACTCTGAATGATTCCCATCGTTATGTTCACGATGTTGCTACTGTAATACCACCATGTTAAAAAATAACATGGTGGTATATTTTACTTCATGAAGTTGATGGGATGGCAGATTATTTACATATCACTTTTGTTAAAGAAGACTGGTAGTAGTGTATGCATGTGTGACACCATCCTAGAAGGATTGAATAAATGGCACATAGTATCAACATTTGTCCTGGGCCTCCCAGCACAGCTCAAAAGAAGTACTTTGTGTGGTATGTAAACTATCAGTTCTGGGGAGACAAAGGTGGTCAAGCCTGGTGCTGCTGACAACATTGTCCTCTTGCATGCCGTGTTGTCCTACGTAAGTGTCCTTTGTAACCGCACTGGTTTGTCCAGTCGGCAAGGCCTCACTGGGGGGATTTTCGTACAATCGCTCCATGTGTTTTGCTCACTCCCTGCAGGTGTGCCCATGTACATCTGTAACCAGCATCGCTTCGGACATCTGGTGGTGCCAGGGAAGGCAGAGATCACGCTGCAGGACGATGTGGACATGTTCATTCACACCCATCTAGAGATCATGGGTGCGTGCAAGCTGTACACTACGCAAGCCAGCAGCGTTCAGTACCAGCCCAAAAACAAAGGGCTTTGATAATTTAACAAGAAATAGGTCTTGATTTAAAGCTTTCGTGACTGCAGTAATTCATATTCTTAGTTTTTTCGGTAAAGTCACGTTGAAGAGAAACAACAAAATAACAAAATATATATAAAACAATAAAAATTCTCACGACGTTTCGACCATAACTCAAACGGTCATCATCAGGTGTGTCGGTTTGCATAAATTTATTTTGAAAACGGCATATTTATTTATTTATTTATATAAAAATAACGTTTGCGTCACGCGCAACGATTGGCTGTTTGCCAGGACTAGTCCATCTATTTTTTGAAAAGAGGAGGGGGGAGACGAAATTTGTTTTTATGTATGCTGTCTGAAAGCCACTGTAAGCGTGAGCAATCAATCAAGAACTGAAATGATTTATCAAATCTTTCCAATGAGAGATTCGTTCATGAGGCTATCCACATATACAAACACAGAGACAATTTCAACCGAGAAGATGGATTCTAAGCAATCATTGGAAAGATTTGATAAATCATTTCAGTTCTTGATTGATTGTTCACGCTTACAGTGGCTTTCAGACAGCATACATAAAAACAAATTTCGTCTCCCCCCTCCTCTTTTCAAAAAATAGATGGACTAGTCCTGGCAAACAGCCAATCGTTGCGCGTGACGCAAACGTTATTTTTATATAAATAAATAAATAAATATGCCGTTTTCAAAATAAATTTATGCAAACCGACACACCTGATGATGACCGTTTGAGTTATGGTCGAAACGTCGTGAGAATTTTTATTGTTTTATATATATTTTGTTATTTTGTTGTTTCTCTTCAACGTGACTTTACCGAAAAAACTAAGAATAAGAAATAGGTCAATTCAAGATTTAATTCACATGTATTTAACCAGGTGAGCACATGTTGACAATCGTCTTGTATGTTTGGCAGGGAAGTCTTGTGAAAAGTGAATGATACAAAAACATTTTTTTGTAAATAATTTATATTTATTTGGGATTTGGGACATGGCACAGGCACACAATGGCCTCTGATTGAAAATTACACAACAGGATCTTTAACATCCACTCACGCAATAGACACTGCTTACTAATTCCCTGTAGATATTATTGAGTGGTTGTGGAAATAAGACCCATTAATTAAATTGACTGGCCTATTCATTATATAACGACATTTTCGATAGCGCCGTAACATGGAAAGCCATTACAAGAGCGCTATTGGCGTGCTGTGTTGACCAAAGGTCTTTGATTTTTTTCTATCTGCCTTTAAATACACGAATCATTAAAATACCATTTATATTCATCTTCTTTGGTTCTTTCGGTAAAGTCACGTAGAATGAGAATAAAATAATAAATTGATAAAATAAAATAACACAATAATATTCTCACGACGTTTCGGCCACAACACAAGCGGCCTTCATCAGGTGAAGGGACGAGACTGTCTGGTAGGACAGCGCTGGAGTGAAAGAGCCACGTTCAGATCACGACCTTTAAGCATTTATATTCTTGGTTCCTTCTACGTGACTTTACCGAAAGAACCAAGAATATGAATCCCTGCGGTCACGAAAGCTTTAAATCAAAATAAAATACCATTTATTAATCACGCATAACTCTGGGGGTTAGGCTGTTTCAGTAATTGGACCTTTAGCTAATGCCGTTGTGCCCTTGCAGTGGAAGAGCCTCCGATGAAGCCATCCCAGTACATCCACATGCCGGAGAGGGAGCTCGACAAGATGGGCTTTGACGAGGTAATGACGGGCACTAGACGTCATGAATGGTCGTCTCGCTAACCCAACCACATCGGCTGGAATGCTGTGAATGGGCGGTGAAGCCAGGATAGTTCTCTTCCGTGAGTGACTAGATACATTTCCTGTGACTGTTTAGTTCTGCTTTGGGTTGCTTTTAAGGCCACCACAGATAGTTAACACGATTGTTAATGTCAATTGAGAACATTCTTAACGTCACCCCTTTAATGGAATGGCACCAGAACACCTGTTAGAATGAGATGCCTCATTGAACAGGGGTTTTCATGTTGTAATATTTTAAATTTATTTAAATCACTGGATCCCGTTACAGGAGGTGGAATAACATGGATTCTTTCTGTCCTGGGTCAAGTTGCCCTGTTCTGTGTAAGGCAACCAACCATTAACATATGGCCTTACTGTACCCATTGGCTCCCATGATTATCAGCAATCGCCTGGCTAGATGATTGGTTGGGTTCAGGGGGTACAGGTGAAGTTTTATCTATAAATAGAGGCTGGAGGTTTTGTCAGGGTTAATCCGAGTCAACGTGTGCATTTGTTTTGCCTTCTCAACTGTTACCATATCTGTTTTACAAGAGTGTTGTATCGTTATATTATGTTTGACCACATTTCAAGACTAAATAATAACAAATAATTTTTAAAACCGAAAATGTCTCCAGCTGTGACCCTCTGAAGGAAGTGATTTATGCACAAGTTCGAAAAATTTCATTTGTTACATTTTGATTTAAAGCTTTCATGACTGCAGGGATTCATATTCTTGGTTCTTTCGGTAAAGTCACGTAGAAGGGAAACAATAAAACAATAAAAAAAAATTGTTTCCCTTCTACGTGACTTTACCGAAAGAACCAAGAATAACTTTCATTTGTTACTTAATTGTTTGGTTCACGTTGAGCTTCGTTTAATTTTCAACACGTTTCATTTCACTTGTCTCTATAAGTAGAGAACAGTTTTTCATCCGTGTAAGCTCTCGTCAAGCAATATTAAAAAATACTTTTTTAAAAACACGATTTAATGAAATGTTCCGTGCTAGTAATGGAAGAACTCCACGACTCCAGGAAGTAGCCCCAAAACTTGCCACAACGTAAGGGACCGTGGTGATTTATAGCCAACGTCAGTTGACCGTGGACAATTAGACCCAAGCTGAAACATAACATATAAAAAAGATGGTTTAAAAATATATATTTTTTATTTTTCATGATAGAATATAGTATTGTCATCAGTATGACTTAAGTATACCAAGTTTTGCAGTCGATACCACATTGGGAAGTGGGTTAAAATTGAGTTCCAAGATTTGAGGATACAACAACAACAACAACAGACAGAGTGAGTTAAATAAAAGCGTGTAATAATAAAAACTATTGGAATGATCGCTGCTGTGAAAGAGTTGCATCGATGTTTTTCTTTAATTGGCTTCATCTGCTTTACCCAATATTGTCTCCACACAACCAAGAGCGGCCCCATGGCCTTCTGGGAGTGCATAATTTCATCAACATTGAGTCAATACAAGCAAACTGCGCACCGTCTTTCAACATACAGTGTCTCGGCGGCAAGGTCAGGGTTTCTTGAATCGATGCTGGTGAGCTGTCAGGTGCTGGTGAGCCATAGCATACATCCAAGAAGCAATGCTGCCTATACCATCTGGCAGTTCCCCAGCACTGATTAAAGCAAGCCTGCCTCTGCTTATGAGACTCTTGAATGTCAAAACCGGTCCAGAGTTTGTATGCATCCATGTATGTTGAACTTCTTTCGCACCTTACATAGCCAACCATTTTTATCGGAGATGCAGGGAAAGGACAACACACTAAACACAACATAATTGCATTGAATCACTGCTGGTAAGATTACGTACTTCCAGAATGATGGGAGACATATGAAGGAGATTAATTGTCTGCTTATTTAAATTTATTGTACAACTATTGAACGCGAAATAGTTCCAACGTGAAGCTGTGGCATACGAATCTCCTGAATATAAGACTTTTCAATATAAAACTGGAATATAATTATTTTAATGCTAACGTTATTTAATATGAAACTCTAAAACGTGAAGCCGTTTACATGCAATGTTGCCTCATATCGAGCCCTCTGAATAAAAGCTGTTCCTAATTTCTATACAACAACAACAACCGTTCCCTGCCTGGCCCGCCAGGTGTACATGATCAACCTGAAACGTCGTCCCGAGCGGCGGGACCGCATGCTGCGGTCACTCGAAGAGCAGCAGATCCAGTGCAAGGTGGTGGACGCGGTCGACGGGAAGTACGCAGGCCCAAACAACCACCGCCGCCACCACCACCGCCACCGCCACCACCGCCACACCGAGTTGTTGTTGTTGCGTCTGCGGTCTTGCTCAAGCGAGTGCCGTGTGCTCCCCTAGGGCACTCAACAAGAGTCAGATCCGGGCACTGGGAGTGGACATGCTGCCCGGCTACCACGACCCCTACTCTGGTCGCGTTCTCACCAAGGGAGAGATCGGCTGCTTCTTGAGCCACTACGGCATCTGGCAAGAGGTGTTCCCCTTTCCCTGGCCTGGCCAAGAGCCTACATTAGTTAGGTTTCTTGTTGTGATCTCAGGGCCGCTTGTGAATGTAGGTGCTGCCCACAGAATCATTGCCACGTGGGTGCAGATGTATCCTCTGCGCCGCTCCCAGATTTGATTTTTTTTATGTATTTTGTTTTGGCAATTGAATATCGGTTGTGTCTACGCGACTGTTTCACCATCTGGCGCATTACATGATTAATTGGCACCACGACCACTTCCACGCTTACATATGTGACCAGATTGTTTAGTAACTTTATTGGTGTCGTGTACAGGAAACAATTTTATTGCAGTGACACAGCCACTTTTATTATTACCATATTCTCTGGATTATGAGGCACTTTTTTCCAAGCATCCTGTGTTTCTATGTCACAGCTTCGTATTTTTCAGCCTTTGTTTACTGATTTCCCAGGATCCCGTATTTTCCCCACAAATATATATTTTCAAAATGACCCCAAATATTGGGATGCATGTTTCTTTCTGGGGCATCCTATCATCTGGATGAATATGGTATTCACTTCAGTGATTAATCACACTTTCATGGTATTCACATCATAGCAGTCACACATGAATGTTACAACACTAAAATATAACTCCATTCCATGACCGTAAAGAGTGAACCTTTATAGCTGAATTCGCAGTGTGGCTTTGACGCTTCATTTTATAGTTGACAATTGCACAAACGTGTCGGTGGAGCTATGATTTGCAGCCCCTGGCACCAGAAACACTACCATATACTCGGCATAGCCTCTTCCTCGGAAACTGTTTTGTCTGCTAGGTCGCCCACGCTCGTTTCTCTCTCTCTCTCTCTGCTTTACTGTGTATACTTGCATTGCCAATGACCTGGAAGTAATGAGCATTTTATGGTGGGTGAGCACTGCTTTTGTTAACTTACACATTCCTGCACTCCTGTCAACTTGGATAAAATCAGCACCTACACATGCTGATGAAATTGAGCTATCATGTTGTTCTTCTGCACCAAGGTGCATGCAAGCAAATGACCACAAATGCGCCCGAACTTTAATGTCTCCAGGGCTAAAGAGGTTCGATGCTGGATGGTATTTGGTTTCGGGACCATCAGGGCTTGCCAAGTGTTGGAGGCATAGGGGTGCAGGGGTCGTCAGTGCTGAGCATGACACCCTTTTGTGCCTGGGTTATCTCCAGGTGCTCTGGTTTCCTCCCACATGCCATGCACTCCTGCATAGAATTGACCAAACATCCCCAACTAAATAAGGCTTTCCTGGGTGAATCATGTACATTACTATTATTAGAAACTGAGTATTAACTCGGTCGATGCACACCAGCCAATAGCTGTGTCTCTAGTCGCCCATAGCACCTCACCCGCCCTGGCTAACGCACCGCTGTCCCGCCAGGTGGTGGGTCGTGGCCTCCCCAGTTCGCTGGTGCTGGAAGACGATGTCCGCTTTGAGCCGTTCTTCCGCCACCGCCTGGAGAGGCTCATTGCGGACGTCAAGAGCTTAAACCTCAACTGGGACCTGATGTGAGTGTGCGTGTATGTGTGTGTGCGTGCTTGCGCGTGTGTGCGTGCGTGTGTATGTGTGCGTGCGTGCGTGTGTGTGTGTGCGTGCGTGCGTGTATGCGTGTGTGTATGCGTATGGGGAGCGATAGTGTAGCGGTTAGCGCTACGCTGCGCTATGAACCTGGCGACCCGGGTTCGATTCCCGCTCACGGCCAACACCAGTGACGATTATCTGAACCGGTCCCGGGCCTCCCCTAGGTCGACTCAGCCTCAAATGAGTACCTGGTGCGGTGTGTAAACATTGCCACTTGGGAGGCAAAGGCGGTCGGGCGTGGTGCTGGCCACCCACCCCCTCATGTACCGTTCCGGCCTTCATAGGTGCTCGCTAACAGCACTTGCCCCTACAGTCTGTTACAGGCTATATGGGGGATCTTTGTGTGTGTGTGCGTGCGTGCGTGTGTGCGTGGGTGTGCGTGCTTGTGTGCGTGTGTGGAGCCAACTGGTGTTGTTGCTTTCCCACTCAAGGTGTTTAACTCAACTGGCCAGACAGACCAAGCTTCAGTAGTGGAGGCTACCTAACCGGCCACACAGGCCAAGCTGTACGGTGGCCAATACATTTCAATGTTTAGGGTCCGGTTGGAGACATTTACGTATGCTGCATTTAACACGTGGGGGCTGATTAAGCCCATAATCTAGCTTAGTGGCGCAGCGGGTAGAGAACGTGACTCGCACTCTGAAGTCTAATCGGCAGGGGGTCTACTCGGTCGTTTATTCCTTGGGAGTGGATTCAACCGGCAGAGGTTGTTGTCTGAATATCCTACCCTCTGTAACAGAAATAGATTTTCTCAAAGCTCTGGGCTGTAAGCAAGAGATGAGAATCGTGTGAGTCATAAACCACTTGACTTTTTATTTATTCAGCCCAAGGTAAAGCACAAGTTAACGCTCACCCTAATCAGTTGCATTCAATTAAAATTTTGGACCAAATTTTGAGAACCCGTTGTGAAATCAAATGTTCCACTTCCATGGATAACGGATGTACTGTTTTAATTACTCACAAAGTTATTCAGTGGAATAGCGCGCTTCTCTGCTATTCGCACTGGGTCCCTCAGTAACAGTAAACTTCCACGTGCACCTTCGCGGACAAAATAAATCACAGACGTCTCAATTTAAAAAGTAAATAGCAGACGGACTAACAACAGGTGAACGCACTGATCTCACCCGCAGATATATCGGCCGCAAGAAGATGCAGATCGACACCCCGGAGCGGTCCGTGAAGGACATACGGAACCTGGTCTGGGCCGACTACTCGTACTGGACCCTGGCGTATGCAGTGTCACTGCAGGGTGCGCGGAAGCTGCTGGCCGGGGAGCCGCTGGGCCGCATGCTTCCCGTGGACGAGTACCTGCCCGTCATGTTCAACAAGCATCCCATGTGAGCCTCCTTGCGATCCCTCGCGCCGCCAGTCCTCCGCCTCCAACCTTCCGGCCTCCCTTTCATCGTCTTTTTAGCCCCAAACCAGGGTTGTGTTGCGATGGTGGGGCCACGCAATAAAACTAGGGCGCGGTGACGGGCCACGCAGGCACCTTAACGTCACGCGCGGCAGACGTTATGGCGCCACGTTGGCGTCGTGACGTCATAACGTGACCTCTAACCTCTTGTCTGCAGGTCTCTCATCTCTCTCCCTCTCTCTTGTTTATCCTGCCTGCATCTCATTAATATTTCTCTCTTCTCTGTAGCTCTACCATGCCTAGACCTTGTTTCTCTCTCTCTCTTTCGTCTCGCTAACTTGTATCTCGAATTTTAAATAGCTCGGCAGGGACCGGTTCCGTGATCTTGTGCGCTTAATATCTGGCTCACAGGCTGCACAATTGAAGAACTCTAGCCTAAGCCACTCGTTGTCTACCGCGTTAATCCAGCACACGTTTCTTTTCGTTTATTTCCTGTTCCCTGCACTTTGCGTGTGTCACCCCGTGTTTGGTATTATTTCCGGATCCATTGTAGACGCGTGTCCGGACCACCAGTCTTTTCTCTTATCGGTGCCATCTCCCGCCCCAATTGTCCTCGCCCTGTACGTCAACTTTTCCCCGCCACGCAGTAAGCAGTACCTCGAGTACTTTGAGCCGCGGGACCTGCGCGCGTTCTCGGCCGAGCCGCTGCTGGTCTACCCGACGCAGTACACGGGCGAGGCCAACTACGTGAGCGACACGGAGACCTCCACCATCTGGGACGATCGGGACGGCGCCGCGGCCCCCGACACCAACTGGGGGCCCTCGCCAAAGATGGAGGGACCCGGGGCCAGCGGCGGCGCCGCCGAACATTCGTCCGACGACGGAGGCGGCAACGGTGGCAACAAAGGGGAGGCCGACGAAGCCGGCGGCACCAAGGGTTGGGAGGCCAGCGGGGCCGCCGGAGTGGGGGCCGTGGGCGGCGGCTGGCCTGAGAGGGGGGCCGGCGTCGCGAAAGGCGGCGCCTTCGCCAAGGAGCTCGTCGACACACAGGCCGCTAGGAAAACCCTAGGTGGCGCCACGGACATAGCCGACGCCACCGCCAGAGATGAGCTGTAGCGGCAGCGGCGTGTACAGACATCGTCGGCACGCGCACACACACACACACCCCTACACCTTTGCCGGATCGCATGGCAACAGGTGATGCGCACAAGCGGCTTTGATATATTTTTTTAAAACCTGTTGCTGCGATGAATTTGTTTTTCGCGTTTGTATTGGTCTGGTGTGGAAGGAACCACTTGGGATTTTAAGAAAGTACCTGGACAGTTTTGATAAAAGTGGACTCAAGTCAGGGCTATGATGGCGACAGGGTTTCAGTTGCAGGTCAGTTATACCTTGTGGCTTTAAAAAAAAAATGTAGAATTCTGAACTGACATTTCCCCGGCTTGTGAAAAGGATTGCTCAGGAGGGTCGTAAGAACACCTCGCGTTGTGCATTTCAGGCCTGTCTGCTTCAAATCTGTTGCAGGTGCTGTCACAGTATTGTTCACTGTACAGCAGTTATCTTGCCAGTCTGGTTGTGATGTTGTAGTTTTGGTTGCATGCGTAGCATTTGCTGAATCCAAGTATTCTAAGAAATTGAATCCCTGTTCTTGCCTTTAATGCTGAAGCCTCTAACGGCTAGCTGTTTCATTATTGCTTTTGGCATCGTTTATAGTGTCCTTTTATTTTCACGTAGTTTTAGGATGTCCGCTGTATTATTTGTATAAACTGAAAACCAATATGCCTTATTGTAAGAATTTCCACCTTGTAACATACATTAGTAACTCCATTAGCTTTATAACATTATTTTGTACAGATTGCATCTTCATTAATACAAATTAACTGCCTCTTGATGTTTAACGCTAATACTATTAAACGCATCTCATTATCTCTGTACTGCCAAGGGGCATATCATTTTTAAAGGATATGGAATAAAGTAAAGCATGTGAGTACATGTTCTATACCCCAGTCGAAAGCTGCGTTTTCTCTCTGTATAAACTGCCCTCCTAATACATCTATGACGCCATTAACATCTCTAGGCATAAGCTTTTCAACACTTTCTCGGCTAACTGCATGCCATATCTCCTGATTCACACTAACTTAATAAACACTGATGCCATTGAAAAAAAAAACACTACTCATTTGTTAAAATGTGCACATTTCGACACAAAAAACCCGGCATGTGTTGCATGTTTTTGCTTCACAACGTTAGGTTGTTGTTTCTCTCCGATGATTTTGGCTGGAGTTTCAGCAGTGATTGCAAAAATGCGCAGGCTATACTACATGACGAGACTATGCTGTGCATATTACGTCAGTGGAGATTTATAAAATAATAAATCGCGCCCTTTGCAGCTTGGTTCACGCTTTGGGCCTGCATCATAGTCTTGTTTTGCTGGTGCCGATCGTCCGTGGTTGGGTTCCGCAGCTTTGATTTGGTCGATTTCCCCGCTTGCCGATTGAAACGATGGATGTTCATTTTTCAAATGACCAACTAGAACGAGCCTTGCGTCACCGCAGCCCAGCTGAGCTGTACATACATTAGTCAAGTTCCTTGCCGCACTCCCCGACGTCCCTCTGTATTATCTTATTGTAAGGAGTGGAGGCAGGGCCTTGGCATGTGGTCTCGTTACTTGAATAAAATTGATCAAGAGAAATAAACTTGGACAAATATTTAAATTTATTTGCTACAGGAGGTTCACAAACTTACCAGCACTGCCCTATGATATAAATTGTTGATGAATATTGATAATTTGCCGAAACAATACGTGCTTTGAATCGCGTATATATAGGATTCGGTGTGTTTTTTGGTTTGAATACTTTGTATGTATCGTGTCCATTTAAGACCACTCCAACCACTTGAGACTCGGTGACCACAACAATAATAAAACAAGATTGGTTCTTAAATTGAATCACAACCTGGGCACGCGACAATTCATCGAAACAGAAGGCAGGGATGATCATTATTCCTATACTGTGCTCAATGCCTTATCTACAATTACATTGTCAGTGGGAATGCGGAAAGGCTTATGTAAAATACTGTAATATAAACACTATGAATCTGATTTACTAGCTCTCCAAATTGTGATCACAAGGCTTCTGAGAATATCAAATGCCGCTTATGGTTAAATCTAAGCAGATCCTCAGTCTAGATGTTAACAATAGCTCTTTATAATGCCATGTGATTGCTGCATAAAGCTGCCTCTAGGGTTCACAATACTTTACTGAAGTATAATTTTGCTAAAAAAAAGTAGTTTTAACTTTCAGGAGAAGCTGGATTTGAATGCGTTTATTTCAGCACAGTTCTGATGTAATCAACGCAAGCTTACATATTTGGTAATGTAAGCTTGGTAGGGCGGAGGCAACGGGCAACTTTTGATACAAGCACATGTCGGATATCAGCAGGGCTGGACATGCGTCCAAGATGATAGGTAAAGGTGCAGCCCTGCAGTTGCTTTCTCACCACTGCTGCGGAAGGGCCTCCGCCAGAGGGAGCTCTAGAGAGAGTATTTGGCCTACTCTTCCACGCTGGACAGACGTTTTTGGAAGAAGTGGGGAGTACCCACAGTTTACCCCACAAAATGCAACTCGCCAATCGACGGAACTCCCAATGGATGTGTTTTTATCCAGATTCTGTTTTGACAGCAGTTCGGTTCATACGTGGCCTTTGCAGTGTGTATTTTACGTTCCAGGAACTAATTTAGTCTTTACATAACGAGGCGAGCAAATGCGCACACAGGTGCTTCTTGGATAAGCTATGTAAAAAGTTATTTGTTTTGCTACAATTGTTGGATTTAAATATTGGACATCTAACTATCAAACTTGAGAAACTAAAACATACCTCTGAAAGAGAAGAAAATATCCTAGAGGACTTAATAGCAATATGAAACAATTACATAACATTGAGTCATCTATCGAGATGTCTACGATTTTGTTTTCTCGTATGGCTGTTTAAGCTTTTTTTGTAATAACATAAAGTTGATTGTTTTCGGTATGCTCAAATGAGCATTAAAACATGTTTTGTTCTTCCAGTATTTTGTGTAAACATTTAATGAAATATGTACATAATTGTATTTCCAAAGCGCTGGCTTTCATAATCTACAGCTTTATCTCGAAAGTTGAATCAGTGCTGCTTTGAAATTTATGTTAAATAGCATATACACATTTCTATGCACTAGTCCTGTATAACATGCATAACTTATTTTTGTATTAATGCAGTGTACGCGTGTTTATAACGCATTTCTATGCATTAATTGGGAATTAATGTATGTTGAACTTCTTTCACACCGTACGTAGCCAACCAGCCTAATCGGAGGTGCGGGGGAAGGACAACGGACTAAACACAAAAAGCAGTTCTAAAGAAATGAGTTCTCAATCTAGATTTAAAAGTGCATAGCTCCAGTGACTTCCTAACAGAACATTGGCGAATTCCAGCCAGTAAACGTTTCTATAATCACCAACCCATGTTAAGCGGTCAATGTCTCTCGCCCCAATTTACTTGTGAATGCCTAGTTAGCCTGTGTAGACATCTAAAATCCTGCAGGTGTCCCAATCACTTTTTAAGTGTAATTTTAATCAGATAAAAATTCTCCCTCGGTCACATTAAATGTGTTTTTTTGTTTGTTCCCCATTGAATTCCTACAACTTATAGAATTCCTACAACTTCTTTTATTTGTACAAAAGGATGTTGTTGAATTATAGAATGTGTGATACAATACGTCTACTCGACCATTTAGTTTTTCACACGACAAGCATACATTTATGTTCAAAATTTGGTAGGTCCATGCAGATTCTTGGTTCTTTCGGTAAAGTTACGTAGATAAGAAAATAAAAATTAAATAGAAATTGAAAATTCGTGACCGAAAGAACTAAGAATATTAATTCCTGCAGTCACGAAAGTTTTAAGTCAAAATTAGGTCCATTCAGCTTGGGGATATAAAAAAAATGAAATTCTCAGTTGGGTGTTGCTCCCGAAAATTGAATTGACGAATGGTTGGACTTTGGGTGCCTGAGTAAATCAGCGTAAATTCTTTATTTACAAAGATGTAGAGCGGTGAACACGTTTTAAGATTTAAGACTGCTTCTAGGGTACCAAATTGATGCATTTTTTCGTTCATACTCCGCGTGTGTTTTGTATTTTAGGCTTGGTCTATGATAAGACCTCGAGTTTTTTTTTTTAGAATGCACGCCCTTTTGAAGTCATTTTGCAGCTTGTGATATGGAAATGAGATTACGGTTCATTCCACAAGGCTGGCCCGAGCAGACGGGCATGAAAAACCATCATCGTCAGCTGGAAAGATGTGCGTTCAGAAGTCTCCGTCATGAAAGTCAATCGAGTTTGGTTGTCAGGACTGGCAGAATGTGGTGCACGGTGCTTGGTTCAGAACAGAGTTTATACATTATACATGTGTTCTTCCATCGACTGAGCGACATGCTTGCCCGAGGCTGAGGTCGGACAAAAAAAAAAGCCGGCCATGAGCACTTTACCATTTCAAGTTATTTTTCATTTCTCCACATGTTGAATGTTGCTTGCATGATAATTTCGCCGATTGGTGATTACGGCCATGAAATATCCGGAATGCACCCCCCCCCCCCTAATCTTTTCGCACATGTACCGTCTGATGAGGTTACAAATGGAACCGTCAGCGTTGGCATGTCCGCTTTTATTTTTTTGCAGAGCAGCTGGCTGTAGCGTGCTCGTGCAAATTGGCTCCTCGGCAGTGGAGCGCAATAGCGTCGTGCATTTTAAAAAAGTAATTATTGTAATGCAATTACGTTTCTTTTACATTTGCATGCATTTTTATTTGTTGCTGTGACAATGGCCAAATTATGTTAAATTGAGAATGGGGAATAAGAGAAAGCATTTTCAGCAATTTTTTGCTGCCTCTGTGCAGTCACGCGATCAGTGGTTTGCAGCAGTCGACCATCCGCGGCTTTCATTATGACCTGAACGGTGCTGTACATATGACCTCTTTATGAATAAATCTTGTTTAAACCCGAGGATCACGTGGAATTGAGCCCGTATAACCCGTGCAAGGGTTGCACTGTAGAAACAGAGATCAAGTACACTTACACCCACACACATTGGTCCATTGGAAGGTACAAGAGTTTGATTTTTAAATGTTAATCGTGTGCCACGTTAAACGAATGCGCCCATTGCTGACGTGCCTTGAACACTACAGCGCTGCCCATGCATGTGCACTCACGAGAAATGGTTTTGGGTCTTGACAAATCAAAACAGCAGAGCTAAAACTGGAATACTACTAGTAGAAGGTCGTGGTTTCGATCCCGACCCTGACGTCTGGATATTTGGAGTTTGCATGTTCTCTCCGTGGTCGCGTGGATTCTTCTCCAGGTCCTCGGGTTTTTCCCTTCACATTTAGAGTATTTGGATGCTATAAATGTCCACGTGATAAGCCACTTTGTTTGAGCTATCGTGTGTGGCCAGGTCGCTTCTGAAAATGAGCTCTATAGATAGCTCAGTGGACCGTCCCTGGTAAGGTAAAAAATAGTTTACGAGCCCAAACCCAGGCGAGTAGTGGTTTGTAGATCGAGTGGGCAGGGAGACACTTGACCCAGGTTACCGCTATCCGTCAATCGCTCGTGATTAGGGTTGCTGCGACCCAGTAAACACGCACGTCTACTGGGGATATGGCGAAACTGCTACGACGCAATCGTCTACATTGGAAACATATTGCTCGATCGTGACTGCCCGTGGCATCTATACACAATATAGTCCGATTTTATTTCCCGACTAAAGATTTACGAAATAACGAGAAAGAACACATTAACATCCTCAATAAATGGCTGTGACCGATTAGTGGTTTGTAATGTTTTTTTCCAGAGTAATTGATGTTCTGGCGGCTATATGACCACATTCATGGAGCTCGTTTAATGATTTCACAATGCCTCGAATTACTGACAACATGTGCATCATCAGCATTATAGGTTGTAAAGTTGCAATCATTAAAATATTCATGGTGGCTTCTGTTGAGTGCACTGCATTTCACGAACTTAGCCTTCATTTGTACTGGAGGTAAAACTGTAAAATACAATTACACAGTTATGAGAATCCGATATTGCAGTAATCATTGCGAAAATTTTAATATAATTGTATTGTAAAAAAAATGCTATGCTGGTAACGCCACCTTTAACACAGGGCTATGAGAAATTCCTTCCCACCGTATACACAAACCAGTGCCTAGTCTGGGTAGGTGCTATGTATATATGTATGCTGAACTTCTTTCGCACCATACATATCCAACCGTGCTAATCCGAGGTTGCGGGGCTAGTGCTGGACTATGGCAGCGATGACACAGCAATGTCCCAGCATACCATGGACCATTGGGCCAACGTTGGGCCAACGTTGGGCCAACGTTGGGCCAACGTTGGCCCAGCAGTTCTAACACGAGCGTCATGTTTACCGGGATAATTTGCGAGCACACGCATTGTGTCTGGTGCTCATGCGTAAAGTACGCAACGTGGTTTTTTTTTTGTTTAACACGTAGGCTTTCGCGACCAATATTATTCATAATAAAGGTTTTTGGGTTAGATCGCGTTTATTTATAAATGTGTCGTAACCCTCCACCACCCGACACGGCCATTCAGCAAAAAAAGTAAATGTGGATTCACTCTTCAACACACCGGTGGGCTAAAGTAGTCAATTATTTGTCTCTTATTCTTAGTTTTTTCGGTAAAGTCACGTTGAAGAGAAAAAACTAAGAATATGAATTACTGCAGTCACGAAAGCTTTAAATCAAAATTTATTTGTCTCTTGTCAACGTGACACTTTTTTTGCTGATTGGCCGTGTCGGGTGGTGGAGGGTTACGAGACATTTATAAATAAACGCGATCTAACCCAAAAACCTTTATTATGAAGTGTTTTTTTTGTCACTGTTGGAACTCCAGGGTAGAACCTTCAGCATTGGCCATAGACGTCGTGAAGTCTATATGTGCCCCCATCCACCACACATTCGTGGCTCGCTTGCCATGGTCACTGCGAATTCCACGGGCGACTGAGGCTGATGTTAAATGTGCAACTTTCGTGCAATGACGTTCACGCATAGTCGGGGGTTTTTTTCACCCTTTTCTGTCCGTGTTGCTCCATTTAGCAGCAGTTGTGCAGCACCGAGCGAATAAGATTTACGTGTCGGTCTGCAAGTCGTACATCTGTTAAGTATCACTTGAGAGTTTTCTGACCTCGTCACTCGCCTGCATGGTAACGTGAAGGCAATGATCACGCCTGGGCTGGGGGTTCAGACAAGGGGATGATAGGGGGGGGGGGGGGTCAGGCCGTGGGAAAAATTGTACTGTAATATATTAATCGTCAAGGAAATTGGTTCATGATTGATTTTAATCACTTAGTAGTGTGCAACTGTGCTGAAAGAAAAAAAACAGCTGAAGTGGCATGATCTGACATGGGGCGTTGCGCGTTCATTTAAAGGGCGCAAAACATTGACGTGCAGGAGAGTTGCACCGTTTAGCTTAACGCATCCGTGTGATTTATGGCGCTGAATGCCAGTTTTCGTCGCTCAGAGAGCCAGACTAAGGCACCTGCATATTCCATGGAATGTTGTATTAATGCTTGAGGCTCAGAACCACGTATGTGGTTCATAAGGTGGGTGCAGTGTTACCGCTCAAAATGCCAAAAGCCAAAGGCACCCCTCTGAGCCCTTAGGGTTACATAAATCCAACGGGCTTGAAAAGACGAATGTGCCTGCATGGTTTTAGGGTTTATGTATTTTTTTTAATGATATTAGGACCTAAGTGCCTGTGTGATAGTTTTGTTATTCAACAAAACCCAGGTCTCAATACTTTCTTTTTACGAGGATCCTGCAGTGGGTGTTGGATAATTTCCTATTCAAGCAATGTATTGCATGTAAGAGGAAATCAGAGTACTTGGAGAAAACCCACTGATTAAAGATGATAACAAAGACAAAGATCACCGCATAGCCTTAACCGACTGTTGGGGCAAGTGCTGTCAGCGAGCACCAATAAAGGCCGGCACGGCACACGAGGGGGTGGGTAGTCAGCACCACCCTTGACCGCCTTTGTCTCCACAGTGGCGATTTTACACACCACAACAGGTATTCATTTGAGGCTGAGTCGATCTAGGGGAGGCCCAGGACCAGTCAGATAATCGTCAATGGTGTTTGCCGTGAGCGGTAATCGAGTATACCACTCTGGTCATCACAGATGGGTTCATGAGCCAACTTACTATGCTGCCATCTGCCAGTCACATAGCAGAAGAGTGGGTTTGGAGGGTTTCACAAATCTGAATAATTAATACACTCTTGCCTCCAAAGCACTGGACAACACGCATTCAACGTATATGCCCTGAATCGACATACCTTCGATTATTCACGCTGATCAGCATGGTGAAGCATTGTCAAATAATCCTCACAATCCGCACGGCTCTCATCCAGCCGTGGCTTCACACAGAGCTGCGTCTGTGCACGTGTATTCACAGAGCCAAACGAAGACTTTGTGTGTTCTATGTTTGTCAAGCTGTGTGTGACTACACCTCAATGTCCACTAAGCAAGAGTTTTACTGCCCGAGCTCCAAAGTGAACTCTGGGCATCGTGAATGCCTCCGGCCCCCATCTCTAACGCAGATCCCAGCCACGTGTGGACCAGGCGTGTGATGGACGGGCTGGGCCGGCGAGTCGAGTGGATAATAGATAACACATGAGGTGCACCGCTATGTTTCCCAACGTAAGACCCCTGGGAGGAATTCGGAGCTCTGGAGCGTCATGCATTGGTAAATCTCATGCATTTGGAAGTGTGTCAATGCAGTAATTTCAGTCTTCCTGGGTATGCAACTCCCCTGGCATGCCTCACTGGCTACTGAAAAAATAGGTGTGTGGCACTTTTACGCATAGATCACCCAATCATATGCTCCCTCATTCGCCTGTCTCGCGTATTAGCCATCCTCAACATTAATAGAGGAAGAGGTCACGACCCTGGCAGATCAGTGGGAAGGTTGGGGGAGGAGGTTACAGCCTGCAGAGGCTGCTGGGCGAGAGTGATGGTGGTGTACACGATGATGATAATGATTGCGGGGACGGGGGTTGGGAGGCCTAAGGGAAATGAAGTGTGGCTCGTTCGGAAAAGCGGGATACTATAAGATGTCCTTGGGAGGGAGATTAGTTGTTAGACCTGGGGGTTTGGTGAATTTGGAGGAGAGGTCGGGAGTCTGGAAATGTTAATGTGCATATTGTAATCCTGGAGATGGTTCCGTAAAAACACTTGACATGATCATTTATCTCGTCACTTATTCACCCATGAAATGTTCCGCTGAGTCTCAATACCCTTTTTTCAGGGGGCCCAGCATAGGGATGTTTGGTCAATTATATGAATTAGTTAGCATGTGAGGAACCCAGAATACCTGAAGAAAATCTACGCAAATTGGGTAACACTTATCCTCTGCAAAGATAGATTCCATCCCTGCTATACTCTACTGCAACCTCCTGGTCACCTGCAGCCAAACTTGTACTGCGTTTACAAATTAAGAGAAAACGCTCGAAGTGTTTGATGCTTTTGAACGATAATTGGGTTCTGATTAATTATCTTCCAACTTTGGTATGATCAGCGTGCGCGAACACATTGCGTCCGTGGCACACTTTGAGTCTCAATATCTCCTTCGGTGAAAACTTCATCGTAAAACCGTTCATCAATTTCAATGGATAACCCCCCCCCCCCTCCGTCGTCTTCGTCAAAAATAGGACGAGAGTCCTTCGGCTCGGATCCTTTTTTGTTGTTGCACAAATCAGCCTCCTGTGGCGTAAACGCTGCCCACAATCTCACGCAATCATCCACTCGTTCAACAGCCAGCTGCCATCATCATCGGGCTCCGCATAAGCTTGTGTCGCTCAATCCTCTGGAGCTCTCGAGCAAAAAGGGGCAGCTCGCGTGAGTTCGTGGTTGTGCTGCAGGCTCCGAGCTGCACAGAGGCGACTCTAGCCAGAAGAGGGCAGAGAAAACATCAACCAGTCAAATGC